GTAGCAGTGAGAAACAAAGTGGCTGTAAGATGTTGGAGATGTGGTTCTGAAGGTCACCTACGACGGCATTGCAGAACACCCCAGGGCACGGATAATAAAACGGATGAGTTGACAAGACCAGTGAATGCTTTAAGACGGAATAGTGGTAAAACAAAACCGACCCTAAAGTGCTGGAATTGCGGTGTTGAAGGCCACCTACGAAGGAACTGCAGAACTCCCCAGAGCACGGAAAATAAGGCATACGATTTAAACAGACAATTAAATGCCACGAGAAGGAAAAGGACTGACAAGAAACCAAAGTGCTGGAACTGTGGAGCTGAAGGCCACGTACGAAAGAATTGAAGAACACCCCAGGGTACGAAAATTGAGACAATTTCTGAGCAACGACGCAGGAAACAAATTAATGACCATATCAAGGAACGGAGGTTGCCAGATAATGAAAAACCCTGTTTTAAAGCGCTTAAGATCTCTATAGTGAGTGGCAACAATAACGGACTGTCCATCAATGGGAATATCGATGGGGTTCCTTGGAATATGATCATTGACACAGGAGCTAATGTTACCATCATTAGGAAAGATTTAGCTGAACAGTTTAAAGATAAACTTATTTGGACGCCATCCTGTGTTACCCTTCAGACTGTGTCTGGTGACAAGATCGACATAACTGGGAAGTTAAAAGTAAACATCACGTTTGGAAGTGCCGCCTACCATCACACGGCATATGTGGCGGATATCACAGATCCATGCATACTCGGATTGGACTTTTTAAGGAAATACAATTTTTCCTTAGATTTCAAAAACAATAAGCTGCTTTCAGCATCTGATGGCATGACTATCCATCCTCAAAAGGGATCCTCGCCTGGAAATGTCGACGCCTTGTCCGAAAGATCGAGCTCGGGAAGCTGCCGAAATCATACCAGGGTCGAAAAGAAACTCAAGACTACCAGCTATTCTCCATCCCAGAAGCTCTTCGGTCGAGACCTTCGTCTGCCTTTGTGACCGCCTGTTTAGGTCGCCCTACCGGATGCGCCTTCATCGCCTGAGGAATACATCCAAGATGCTCCAGGCCCAGTTTGAGGGGATGCACCGTTCTGCACGAAAGCGAGTCAACTTGGCGACGGAGAAAATGAAGACCAGATGCGACACAAGAGCTACTAGACAGAGATTCCAACAAAGGAGACAAGGTGTGGTTGTGGAACCCAATTCAAACGAAAAGGACTGAGTCCTAAATTACAGTCACCTTCGGATGGTCCATATACAGTGCCTGAAACAGGCGAATGACGTCGTGGTTCGGATCCGTGAAGTCGACTTCGAACTCTTACGACAGGTTAGCTTATTACTATGGCCATAGTACGTAATGTAAATAATTGTAAATAGTATCAGACCATGGTCCTTTTTTGTTTTCAAATGTGTATTTGATTTGATTTGTATTTAGTATTTGATTTGCATTTAGTATTTGATTTGAATTTGATAGCATTTGATTTGTTTTATGTATTGCATTTATTGTTCATGTTGTTTATTATTGTAATGTAATGCTTATTAATACATTTATGCCACAGTTGTAAATTTAGCTTCCTGTCCAGGGATTGTACTGCCCGGGACATGCAGTCCTTGGGAAGGGGGCAGTGTTACGAATTTGGTATTTAAAAAGCTAATATTAGTTCAATTATAAATTAATTGGTTTTATTTCTCGCGCAGTGCAGCGCGTGACGTATATTAAAAGAAGAAAGCTAAGCCAGAAAATTAAAAATACAAGAGCACGTGCATTAAATAAATAAATATCTCTTTTTGATTTCGAGAAAGTACTGGAAAATTCTAGCGCGTGGTTTTAAAATGTTATAAAAGGAGGAAAACATCTCAGTTTGTAGTAGTTGCTTAGTTTGTTGTTGTTTAGAAACTACTGTTGTTGATTGTAGCGAATTCGCGGATTAGCGTTCTTTAGCTGTTTTGAATTACGTTCTATTGGATATTTGAGTAGTTAAAAGATAACTACTGTGAGATATTGTAATACTGCATGATAATTTGAGAAAATTTAAGCATTTTTGTTGTGATAATAATAAATTTTTGTTCATTTTTCATTGGACTTGTGCATTCATTTCGTAACGAACCCGTACGCACGCAACAATATTTATTAATATGTAAAGGATCTACAAAGCGAAAGTATGTTTCGAAGTCCATTAAACAAAAAGTGGAATTGCTGCAAAAAATGGATAAAGGCTTCGTTTCTCTAACCATTCCGAAATCTGTTTATCAATTTCACGCTGCTCTGCGGCAGGGGGGGGGACGTCACGGCGCACAATGAATTGGAAGTTGATCTGTAAGCACTATCCTTATCTTCAGAGCAGTTGTTTTTATTAAGTGACACGGAGGTTATTGAAAACGAAAAAATTTCGATTGACAAATTAGTCGGTATTCTCGACACAGCAATTATAGGACTTGAACATCGGAACTTTGTAACTGAACAAGAAATTATGTCTGTTTATAGAATTAAATAGAAAGTATTATCGCATAAAACAAAGCAACTTAAACAACTTACATTGAAAGAAATGTTTAATAAAGTAAACAAATAAATATTAAGCTTTTTTTTTTTTTGTAAATTTTGATACTCTTTAGATCATAATTGTTCTTTATTTCATAAATTACGGTTTCATATTTTTAATTTTGTAATTTCGGCATGCCGTCTTACCAGATTTAAACTGATGATCTATAATCCGGAATCGCCGAAGTCCCGACAAGTCCGGATTAACGACTTTTGACTGTATTATATATTTCATTGAAACCTCATGAAATCCCGCCATTCAGTCTTGGATGCATTGTAGTTCTTCTTAAATTTTATCGAACCGTACTTGGTTTATTTTATTATAACATGTATATTAAAGTGATAAACTGAAATAGTATTTGTACAGTTTTCCATCAACTGTGAATGTTGATGGAGGTCATGTCAAAACTGCAGCAACAATTCTAGTGGAAAGTCTAAAGGAATAGATAAAACTTAATAATCATGAATTGAAACTTTGTGGTTATCTGATAAGGAAATTCATTGAAACTAGTGCCAGAAATTTCGGGAGTCAAGAATCCCTAATGTAATATAATATAGCAACAAAACTGTTATCTTCTTTATGTACTTGATGTATAAATTCACTTAAATATCTAGTTTTAATGAAAGTTTTTCCCTAAAAAAGTTCTTAATTAAGTTGGGGGAGGACATGAAAGCAGTACCTTTAGTGCATGTTTTAATCAACCCCCAAATCTTTGTGGTTTTTGAAAGCCTTCGTCCCAGACACTTGGTGGCTGCGAGTCCAAAGACTGATCAACCTCATTTCGAATCTCTTGTGCCAATTGAAAGATAACACTGCCAAGATGCAGCTGCAGGTGTGAAGAAAGGTAGAAGTCTGAGGGAGCGATGTGGGGGCTGTATGATGGGTGTGGCAAGAGATCCCATTTGAGTCCATGCAGAATACAGCTGGTGAATGCAGACACATGTGCTCTTGTATTATCTTGATGGAATGTTACCTTTTTGCACCAGAACTCGGTTTGATATTTTTCCTTGATAGCAATGTCCCCAGGGACTAGCATCTCGCTTGCACACCTTACTGTCAAGGGTTTTACCTTTTTCCAGATACAGTTTGTGGATAAAATCACAGCAATCCTCCCCCAGATACAAAGCAGGATCTATTTGTTAGTCTAATTGTACTTTGTAATGCTGCCGACAGGCTCAACGAGCGTAGACCAGCTGTCTTTCGGGCTGTGTTGTTGAAGTAAATGCACTTTTAATCAGAAGTGAAGATCCAGTCCAGAATTTTTGTCCTTGCATTGATATCCGAGCAGATTAGAGCAGGCCCTAACACGTCTGTCCTTATTTGCTTGAGTCAGCTCATGTGACACTCAATAATTGAACTTGTACTTCAAGTTTATGCGATGCATAGCTCAACTAATGGACATGGCACTAACGTCTAATTCCTTAGCAAACTCTCAAATGGTTGCATACAGATCTTCTTCCATGAGTTCTCCCAGGAAGACCTCATCAACATCAATAGGCTGGCCGCGCTTTGCTTCTTGAATGTCATAGTCCTTTTTTTGAACTTTCGGTATCAAATGATACAACATTAGTACTTAAAGCTTTACACATGATTTGGTAATAGTCTGTAGCTGACTTTTTGCAATAGAACTGGAAGTAAATGATTGTTCTAATCTGGTAATGTGATAGTTCGATTTCAGACACCTTGTACTTAATGATAATGATATTTTTTTTACAAATTTCACAACACGGCGCCCTGAGGCAAGAAAGTTATTTCACAAAATATGATTAAACACGGCAACGTGAACTATTTGTGCGTAATATTTGTGGTGGCGTGAAACCTTTTTTAAAACCTGCTACAAATCGGAGGGGCATCATGCTGTTCCACAATGTGCTTTAGCATGTTGTTTTGATGAACTCCGCAGTTTTTTTTTCTTGTTTTGAGTACCCAGATCAATATAACAAGTCCCACAACTTTGATAATTCTCTATTATTATTATTATCGATTACTTTTCTGTTGAAGGCAGGACCTAAGTGTTATCCCTATTTGTAAAATATAGGAAAAAGACACAGAAATAGCAGTTAATTTATAATCACTTTATAAAACCATATGTGGCTTACTGAAAATCAGTATTACATAAAATTAGAAAATTACTCAAAAGTTCTTTTGAGTGCGTAGTGATGTCATGCTTAACCATCCTTAGCAATAAATTGCATCGTTTGGTGACATTTTGAAAATGGTCAATGGCAAAATACATAAGTATCTTTGAAATAAATAGTAGCTGAAGTAGTGTATTTCCATAGGCCATTCAAAACACTTGTTAAATTGTGAGAACTTTGCAGGAATTATATTTTTCTGAGTCAAAATTACAAACATGTTCACACATACATACATATGTATATTATCTTTCCTTTTATAATTCAGTTTTTTTATTTGTATAAGTCAGTTTTCTAACAAGTAACTAAATTTTATTTTATATAGTATTTTGAGCATATCGAAGAAATGGAATGGGCTATTGAAGTATGTAAAGAGACTGATTTACCAGTTGCAGCGACAATGTGCATTGGTACTGAGGGTGATCTACATAATAAATCTGTTGGAGAATGTGCCGTACGAATGGCGATAGCTGGTAAGTGAATAGTATATGCATTGCTTTTATCTTCATTTATTAAATGTAGGAAGTTTTTATTGATCCATATTTTGCTAATTATAAACAATTAGCCCTTTATTTGGCCAAGTGTTTGCCCCTAAGCAGTAGAGTTTTTCAAAGCCTTGAAAAAGAGATTTTCTTTATCACAATTTCAAAATAAACCTACCCTTTCATTCTTGATAGTGAAAGAGTGGTGGGAAGCCCTTTGACTGCCTCCAGAGTGTTTCCTTTTTTAATTATTAAAAAATAAGGAAATATAAGAACTCAGAAACAAGTTTTAATTGAATGATATAAAGATATGTATAATAAATTTCAAAAGGGGGGAAAATTATCTTGCAGTGTCATATACTTAAATTTTATTATAAAATATCTTTTATTTGATTTTCAATTTCTACTATTATTATTGTATTAGTAAGCTATCTTCATGATTACATATAAGTGAGGAATCAATATTCTTGGTTCTATCTAATAATATTGTTGCGTGCGTTATGAAATGAATGCACAAGTCTGATGAAAAATGAACAAAAATTTATTATTATCACAACAAAAATGCTTAAATTTTCTCAAATTATCATGCAGTATTACAATATCTCACAGTAGTTTTATTTTAACTACTCAAATGTCCAATAGAACGTAATTCAAAACAGCTAAAGAACGCTAATCCGCGAATTCACTACAATCAACAACAGTAGTTTTCTAAACAACAACAAACTAAGCAACTACTACAAACTGAGATGTTTTCCTCCTTTTATAAGATTTTAAAAATCACGCGCTAGAATTTTCCAGTACTTTCTCTAAATCAAAAAGAGATATTTATTTATTTAATGCACGCGCTCTTGTATTTTCAATTTTCCGGCTTAGCTTTCTTTTAATATTCGTCACGCGCTGCACTGTGCGAGAAATAAAACCATTTAATTTATAATTGAACTAACATTAGCTTTTTAAATACCAAATTCGTAACACTGCCCCCTTCCCAAGGACTGCACGTCCCGGGCAGTACAATCCCTGGACAGGAAGCTAAACTTATAACTGTGGCTTAAATGCATTAATAAGCATTACATTACAATAATAAACAACATTAACAATAAATGCAATACATAAAACAAATCAAATGCTATCAAATACAAATCAAATACACATTTAAAACAAAATGGACCATGGTCTTATACTATTTACAATTATTTACATTATGTACTATGGCCATAGTAAAGAGCTAACCTGTCGTAATGACCGACTTTGGTTTAGAGTTCGAAGACATACGGAGACGTCATTCAGTCTGTTCCGCACTGTACATGGACCATCCGAAGGTGACTGTAGTTTAGGACTGAGTCCTTTTCGTTGAATCGGGTTCCACAACCTCACCTTGTCTCCTTTGTTGGATCTATGTCCAGTAGCTCTCGTGTTTGTATCTGGTCTTCACTTTCTCCTCCGTCGCCAAGTTCACTCGCTTTCGTGCGAAACGGGGCATCACTTCAAAACGGGCCTGGACATCTTGGATGTGTTCCTCAGGCGATGAAGGCGCATCCGTACGGCGATCAAACAGGCGGTCACAAGGCAGACGAAGTTCTCGACCGAAGAGCATCTGGGCTGGGGAAGAGCTGGTAGTCTTGCGTTTCTTTTCGACCCTAGTATGATTTTGGCAGCTTCCCAAGCTGGATCTTTCGGACAAGGCGTCGGCATTTCCAGGCGAGGATCCTTTTTGAGGATGGATAGTCATGCCATCAGATGCTGAAACCAGTTTGTTGTTTTTCAAGTCTAAGGAATAATTGTATTTCCTTAAAAAGTCCAATCCAAGTATGCATGGATCTGTGATATCCGCCACATAGGCCGTGTGATGGTAGGCGGCACTTCCAAACGTGATGCTTATGTTTAACTTCCCAGTTATATCGATCTTATCACCAGACGCAGTCTGAAGGGGTAACACAGGATGGCGTCCAAATAAGTTTATCTTTAAACTGTTCAGCTAAATCTTTCCTAATGATGGTAACATTAGCTCCTGTGTCAATGATCATATTGCAAGGAACTCCATCGATATTCCCATTAATGGACAGTCTGTTACTGTTGCCACTCACTGTATAAATTTTAAGCGCTTTAAAACAAGGTTTTTCATTATCTGGCAACCTCCGTTCCTCGATATGGTCACTAATTTGTTTACTGCGTCGTTGCTGGGAAATGGTCTTATTTTCCGTACCTCGGGGTGTTTTGCAGTTTCTTCGTATGTGGCCTTCAACTCCGCAGTTCCAGCACTTTAGAACTAGTTTCTTTTCATTTCTGTTCCGTCTCAAGCCACTGACTTGTCTGGTAAAATCATCTGCTTTATATTCCGTACCCTGGGGCGTTCTGCAATTCCGTCTTAGGTGACCTTCACTACCACATCTCCAACACCTTAGAGCCACTTTCTTCTCGCTCCTACCTACTCCGTATCAAATCTTCGACTTGTCTGGCTAAATCATCTAAACGAGCCATCAGTTGATCCACTGGCTCATGGACTCGCACAGCTCTAACTGGGTAGCGATCTCTACTAGTTGCTTGCTGGGTTGCCTTGAACTTCATGGCGTACACTAGAGCACTTTTTAAATCTTTTACATCCGCCATTCGTAGAGCTTTCTGTATTTCAGTATCTCGGATGCCGTCGATAAAGTATTGCAAGGACAGGATTTCCCTTGTTTCTGTCGGGCATTCCAAAAAGGCGAGATGGGACAGCCTTTCAACATCTGCGGCGAGCTTCTGAAGTGTTTCGGTAGGCTTCTGTTGATGAGATTTTAATTGGAGCCTACTGTAGTCTTTTAAACACTTCTCCCCAAAGCGCAACTCCAAGGCGCCGGACAGAGCTTCGAAATCTAACCTTTTGTTTTCGGGAAGAGTCTGAAGGATATCCGCTGCATCGGCTCTTAGAGAAGCGGCGAGATGACAGGCCTTAGCTTGAGAATCCCATCCATTCGCATCCGCCACGATAGAAAATTGTGTCTTATACACCTGCCAGGAGGTCTTCCCATCATATATGGATAGCTTCAGAGGTGGACGAGCAGGCATTGGTAAGAATTTAAAATCATCACTCCTGCTCCCTGCCGACGCTACGAATTTCTTTAAAGTATCCATTTCTTTGGCAACTGCAGAAACTCTCTCATCAATTTGTTTGTTCGATTTGGTGTTGGACGGCACAAACTCTTCCTTCAATTCATTCCTCCACAGCAGAAACTCTCCCTTCTATATGTTCTTTTACAGAAGAAAACTCTTTCTTCTATTTCTTCTTTCACCGAAGAAAACTCTTTCTTCAATATGTCCAACTTTATTTTCAACTGCGTCAATTCTGCCTTCCATAGCTTCAAATTTATTTTCTATTATGCAAGTATTTCTCTTTTCATTTCTTCTTGACCAGCTTGAATGGCTTTCATTTCGTCCTTAACGGATTCCTGGCCCAATTTCATTTCTGCTTTAATGGATCTAATCTCTGCTTTAACAGAGTCTTTCATCTCTTCTTTAAATGATGCTTGGCCAGCTTCCATCTTTTCTTGGAATGCAGCAAAAGCACTAATGAGCTGTCTCAATTGTTCTTCCATCGCTCTTGTTATTGGCATTCAAATCCCACTTCTAACACCAAAAATTGTTGCGTGCATACGGGTTCGTTATGAAATGAATGCACAAGTCCGATGAAAAATGAACAAAAATTTATTATTATCACAAACAAAAATGCTTAAATTTTCTCAATTATCATGCAGTATTACAATATCTCACAGTAGTTTTCTTTTAAACTACTCAAATGTCCAATAGAACGTAATTCAAAACAGCTAAAGAACGCTAATCCGCGAATTCGCTACAATCAACAACAGTAGTTTTCTAAACAACAACAAACTAAGCAACTACTACAAACTGAGATGTTTTCCTCCTTTTATAAGATTTTAAAATCACGTGCTAGAATTTTCCAGTACTTTCTCGAAATCAAAAAGAGATATTTATTTATTTAATGCACGCGCTCTTGTATTTTCAATTTTCCGGCTTAGCTTTCTTTTAATATTCGTCACGCGCTGCACTGCGCAAGAAATAAAACCATTTAATTTATAATTGAACTAACATTAGCTTTTTAAATACCAAATTCGTAACAATATCTAATCTAACAATATCTTTTAACTAAACTGACTTAAAAATCAAACATCTGAATGTTAGACACATAGTTTGAAAAGATTCTTGTGCATTTCTCATTTAACTATATTCTTAATGCTGCCAACAGCATAAAAAAATCAAAATTTATATAATTATATGATTACACTCATATAAATCAAATATTTTAATAACACATAGTTACAACATACTAAATACATAGTTTTATAGAGTTCTTATAATTTAAATAAGTAACCCCAACATTATTTTTAAGGTTTTTAAAATGTTTTAAAGCAAAAGCTTCGAACATAAAACTTTTATCACAAATGCAAGACATTTTTTATATTAGCTCTACATACATTCACAATGTATAATTACTTAGGTTAGAAATACATTTTCATATAATTACTTAGGTTGGAAATACATTTTCATAAAGATAAATAAGCAGGTATTTTATTTTCTGATGTCATTTTCAGAAACAACATGCATGAATAAATTTACATAAGCTAATTTTTTAAATAATAAACGCATTATTTGAAAGTCTATTGAAGACTATCCAAAATAATTTCTTTAAGCTTGGGGAAACCACAGAACACTCATATTATATCAGAATTTTGATTAAATTCACATAAATCTTATAACTGAACATAACACGTACAATCTGAAAAGAGTCTTGTTGGTTTAAGCAAAAAACCACAGCTTTGTTTTAAATGCTATAAAGGTCTTATAACCAATTTTTACCAGAATTTAAAGCCAGAGTTACAGGATTGCCATTGGCCAGAGGACGTTTTGAACTAGTTAGCTCCGCCCATCAACTAGCCTCCATCGTATCATACATCTCCTTGATCAGTGGAGACTTTGCCTTTCTGAGGTTAGAAGCTCACCATCATTATACCATAATAATTGCAACAGAAAATTGCCGTTATTTCAATGACACTGTTAGCCAAAGTAACTGAAATATGAAGGCTTGACTCTATGCAACGCATGGGAATTTATTTCTTGCATGCGGACTACGCTATGCCAAGAAAGATATGCTCATTCTTACGTTGTTCTACACAGAATGGGGTTTTTACCCAAATGCCTGAGAGAACATGTGCTTAGCACCTGAGTCTTCAATTAAACTGAATGAAATATAAAGAAAAAATCTGAATGAATTCAACGACATGTGGTTATTCATGTTTTTTTTATATTAATTTTATTGCTTAAAATTATTGAATTGCTTTTTGTTTCAGTTATGATGTGTATACTTCCTGTTATAATGTTAACTCCTTACTTTAATTAATTTTGCAGTTTACAGCTCAACTTTAATAATTTCGAAGCAATGTACAATGTACAGTGAATCCTCAAGATACAAGCTTAATTCATTCCAGCATTGAGCTCATGTAGCGAATTTCTTGTATCTAGAAACAAACTTCCACATTGAAAATAATAGAAATCCAGCCTTCCATTTGTGTTTTGAAAACCTTCAATTAATCTCTTTGTATTTTGCTTTTTTGTGAATTTCTTTATTTTATCATTGTTTTCAAATTTAGCATGTTACATGAACTCTTTGAGGTTTAAGGCTTTTCTAAATCCATTCGTAAAGTGTATTTATTGCATATTGTTGTTCTTTAACTGCATTCTTTATAAAACATTTATTATCTGGAATTGTACACTTTTATATACTTATGAGTTTTTATTAAAAGTATATCTACATCATTAAAGGGAGCAACATATTTTAAGGGAGAAGCTAACATAGACAAAGTTGTCATAAATTCCATGACTGGTTTAAATTATTCATGTTCTTTGGGAGTTTAAGGTAAAACATAAATGCAGAAGTTATTTCATTGAATGAAATTATTAATGTATAAATATAAATTTTTAGATATACAGTTTGAACCTGGATATCTCCTGCTTGATAATATAACTTTCTTTATGTGTGCATGATGCAGTTGTGTAATACAACAGCTAAATATGATGTTTTATCAGCTGTAGCTGGTGCTAATAATTTTTTAATGAGGAGTGAGGGAAAAAAGAAGTATAACTTCTGTTCTTGAAACTATAAAAATATAGGCCATATTGAAGGTACATTAGTATCTTCAGTATATAAAACAAGGTGTTATGATATTGCATTGTAGAAAAAAATAGTGGTTTGCAGGTTTTGCTGTTAGAGTTAACCTGAGTTTAAAATTTTAGTTTTTAATACATATATGAATGTGTACATGCAAGAATAATTGAAGGTTATGCTTAAATTTTTATGATTTTTGTTTTCCCTACTTGTCTGTTTAATGAATTTTTGATAAATTTAATAGAAAAATTTTAATGTCTATATGCAAATTTTTATTTATTAAATTAATTTTGTTCTTATTCTCAGAAAAAAGTTTCACTAATCATATTTTTTAATAGGCGCAGATGTTGTGGGACTCAATTGCCATTTTGACCCCTTCAAAATGCTAGAAGCTATTGCTATGATGAAAACAGCTCTGTCTGCTGCTGGGTTAAAGCCTTATTTGATGTCGCAACCCCTTGCTTTTCATACACCTGATGCTGGAAAACAAGGCTTCATTGATTTGCCAGAGTTTCCATTTGGTAACTATTTTTTTCATGCTATATTTAAGGAACAGAATTAAGGGGGGGGGGAGTCCTGGTAGTTTGAAAATCCGGATTTCAGACTTGTCTTATTATCAGTTTTCTACTAGAATGCTTTGTGACAATACTTTTGTTTGCTCTTTTTCTTAGTACATTTTGTTAATTGAAAGCAGGAAATTTAAAAATATCAACAATTAATTAAGCATTTCTGTGTATTTGTGTATATATAGAGAGAGAAAGAGAGAACTAAATTTTGCATCTAAAATGAGTTAGAGTATGTGAAGTTTTATATAATATATGTATAATTATTAAAAGAATAGGAAATAGCTGGAGCTTAAATGCAAGTTTACAATATCTTTCCTATGAAGGTCCTAACCATTTTGTATCTTGAAAATAGTCGTACCCAAAGATTGTAAAGTAAATATTACAAATATTGATACTATACTGAAAGCATTACACAATAAAATAAGAAATGAAAATGAAGTATTAATTTCCTCAGTTTAATGCTTCAAACAGAACTTATCAAGGGAAAAGTGTTTGAAGCCCTAAACTAAGTTGATTAATGAGTTCCCAATACATGTGTCATTCCTCTGAGACATTCGAGATTCAGGACCAATATTTTCAAAATAAATTTTCAATTTAGATTGAAATTTCAGTGGCTCTGAAATACTGAGACGTTTTCCCTACATGCATTCACAACCCCTAAGACAGCAAATTTGCAATGCTTAAGAGGAAATGCACACACACACAAACACCCAAAAAAAAAAAAAAAAAAAAAAAATACAAATGAAGATTCAAATATACATATCAAGATTCTCATAAAAACCATGAAAATTTTTTTTGGCAAGAACCCCTAAGACATCAAATTTGCAATACTTAAGAAGAAACACACACACAGACAACAAACAAACAAACAAACAAAAAATAAAAACAAAAACAACAAAATACAAATAAAGATTCACATATATATATCAAGATTCAGATAAAAACCGCAAGAACCTGAAATGCGTAAAAAGCATAAAAAGGCCAAACGAACTAATTACATTCATATACAACTAGGGAAAACCCTGATCAAAACAATCAACAAATTAAAGTGGTCAGTATTTAAAACCTAAAAAAGGGGTGGCTTGAATGTGTGCTAAATTAGTTTTTATCTGAATAAAAGAAAGCCAGATAAATTTTAAAACAAAAAGCTGCTGAGAATGTTTAAATTTATATTAAAAGCATATAAAGATGCAAAAGAAGCTGCCAAGAGTTACAAAGAATTAATAAAAAAAACATAAAAATCTCCCGAGACTAAATGAAATCAAATTTAGAAAGTTAAAAATTATTCTTATCAGCATCCTAAAATTCTCTTAAGAAAAATGGCAAGAACAAAAGCAGTTTTTTTAAAAAGAATGAAGTTTCATAAAAGCTAAAGAAATTCCTTTAAAATAAAATAATCAGGTTTAAACTGCAAAGATCAATTTAATTTGCAACTAAAGGCCAAAAAAATAAAAAAAGTAATAGTCTGCTGAATAGGGTTGTTGGAAATTAGATCAAGCTGGGCAGTGATTTTGCCAAATAGGGAAAAAGGTCGCAAAAGAGAAAAAAAGAGACTTGAAGGTCTGAAAGCAAAACGAGTTCCTGTGCTTGATGGGTGTGTTTCCAGTGGTGATAAAAGGAAAGGGACAAGGGGGATGAATGAGTGAAAAGAAGGCTACTGGATGACCATCATGGCATCGTTTTTTTGCTACAAGGTTCTTAGGAGAGTCATCCAAGATGGCGAGGCCTCAAAGTTTTAAAAGCATCCTAGTTCTAAAAGCTGCAAACAACTGGCTCAAAAGTTTCAGGAAAGGAAAAAAGTGGTTAAAGAAGTCTAAATTTTTCATGCAATTGAGTGTTAATGCATCTTACAGAAATTTGAAAATGGATCCTTTTTTTTTTAGTAACAGGAAAAAAGCATTTGCCAGTAATTCCTTGGTGTACATAATTAATAGTACTTTTAAAATTTCTGGCTAGAAAATCAAGATACAAGAGAGAAACTTAATTACATATTCACATTAGATTTCTTGCATTAGTCATCCATAAAATTACCTTCTTTTCAGCTTTGGGTAAAATACATCATATCACCTTATATAAGCTGTCTAAAAGATAAATTTTAATGCCAGCTTTTTTTGAAGGTATTTAAGGTTATATATATATATTTTTTAATATTATTTATATATTATTGTTGTTATATATATATTATTATATATTTAATATTTATATTACTATTTAATATTATATTACTTTATCTAAAAATTTTGTTTTAATACCTTTAAACTTTAAACCTTGATTCATGCTGCCGGACAAAATTAACAACAACAACAAAAAAAAAACAAAAACAAAAAAAAAAAAAAAACCCAAAAATCAAATAACATATAAACATTCATAAGAACATTGAAATTCTTATAATCATTAAAACAAATCTATCAATCAATCGTATAGTGGTAGTACAATTTAACGTTTAAGGTTTGCGTTGTGAGTAACCTATATAAAAGGAGAATCAATAACTCCAAATTCAATTAAACTCCATGTTTCTTAAAAGCCTTCCGGCTCAAACAAATGGAGGGACATGACAGACCACAATAAATTATACGCTACATAAATACACAAATGCAATTAAATTTTAAACACACATTTATTAAATTCTTGAATATATTATATAATTAAATAATGGATAACTGATCAGTAATACATATTTTTCTAAGCAAAATAACACATATCTCATTCCAAAATTAATATACTAATATTAATTTGTAAGTTTACTATTTTTGACGTTCAATAGCTCACTAATTAAGCCGGTAAAACAAATCTTTAAACCTTCCTTTACAGACTTTAAATTAATTAGTCATTATTCAAAATATTCTAATCATTTAGTAGTTTACATATATAAAATAAATAATTTCCGTTTAAGTAATTTGAAAAGATAGAGAAGTAGACAAATTTAAAAATCACTCACAGATGGAAGACAGTTTTTCTGGATTGAAGAATCTTTAGTGTCCAATCCACTGGGAAATGAACTAAAGCAATTTTTTTTTTTTTTTTTCAAAACACTTTCAGAAGCGTCCATTGATTCAGGAACCGCCGTAAATATGTCCATTAAGTGAGAGACAATTTCCGAAAGAAAAGATCTTTAGTGCCCAGTCTTTTTTCTGTCAAAACACTTTCAGAAGCGTCCTTTGATCTCAGGAACAAGGGAAGCATGATACCTCCTTCTGAAACAAATCTGTATCTCATGACAAATTTCTTCAACTGGAATGTCTCAAACATGACTATTCAAGTTCTCCAAAATACACGATGAAGCGGCGAAACTAAACTTTGGGTAGAGCACCCCTGGCACAAACTTCCTAGTTGCAACCAATCTCTCCTGTCTATGACGAACAATTCTAACTGGAAAGCCTCTAACATGACAATTCAAAGATCACAAAATACACGATGAAACGGTAAAATAAAATTGTGCGTAGAGCACTTTCTCCGTGCGAACAAATTCTCATCAGCAGGAAAGCGGCGAGAAACCTCGCCTCAGACCGAGTCACAAGCCCCCTGCAGGAGGTAAAGCCGCACCAAACTTTTTCTTTTACTGCCTTACATCTTCGCAACTCGGATGTCTCCAAATCCGATGCAATAGCCGGCGCCCGCGAGAGCAAGACCCGCAAGGGCTCAAGCCTCCCACTCCTCTTCTTACTCTTAGCTTGAAAGAATCAGGAAACAGAATCGGAATGATCTCTAGCCTGGTGCAAGCACCCAGGAAATCTCGGTTTCTCCGCCTCTGTGAGTTCATAAGCTTTCTTCCAAAAAAATCATAAAATTAAATCTTACCAATCCCGGAATTTTATGTTATCTAAATTGAGAAATTGAGACACCCATGACGAATCAAACACCAGAAAATCTTACAATGCAATCCGAAAAACATCTGCACTCACAACGTGAGAAAAAAAATAGACCCCCCCAACTAACAAGTGAAACTGAGCTTTTACGAGAATCCAATTATCAGCCACCCCCACTGTCTTGAAGTAAGAAAACTGCAAACTTTAAACAAAGCGACAGGAAAACAACTTCCGTTTCACACGCATTAGCAAAAAGGGCGACATTGTTAGTGAAAAGGCCATAAACCAGATGTGTGTCCTCGCAACCGTCTCTCGCCTTTGTTACAATTCCTACTCAAGAACAACAAGTTAAACAACACCTTAAGAGCCTAAGAATACTTTTTTTTTCCAGATTAAAATACACATGAATACAAATAAAAATATTAGAATAACTTAAAACACATATTAATAATTGAAATTCTTGACATAACATGTTCCTATTAGAATAATAATAACTTGAAACACATATTAATAATTGAAATTCTCGACATAACATTACACTCATGTCCATAAATTAAGGATAATGCAAAATCAGGCAAAGGAAGAGTTAGAAGCAAAACAAATTTGACTTATTTGTAAAGCTTATTTATTAAACAAAAGGTAAAGAGCAAAAAAAGATGCTATATGTTTGATATTATTAAAAAAAATAGCAATTTTTTGGTATGATTGTTAATATATTGTATGTCTCCCAGACAATGCAATACAGTCCGTATAATGCCTAGGGATGCTGAGTATCAAATTATCAATCTGATCTTGGGGGATATTACACCACTCAAAAAGCAATGCTCTCCAAAGTTCTGGTAGACATGTAGGAGGAGGTTCATGGGGTGCAACTTGTCAGCCAAGCATGTCCCACACGTGCTCTACTGGATTCAAGTCTGGTGAAAATGCTGGCCAGTCCATACGGGTGATATCCTCCAATTGAAGGTATTCGCTTACGATATGTGCACGGTGAGGACGGGCGTTGTCATCCATAAACACAAATTGTGCACCCATGGCGCCCCGAAATAAACGTACATGTTGTTCCAGAATGACGTCCCAATAGATTTGGCTTATCATGGTTCCATTTGAACATGCAGGTCAGTTCTGGAACCCAGAATAATTCCACCCCAAAAGAACACTCCTGCACCACCGTAACGGTGTTGTTCAATGATGTTTCCTTGGTGGTAACGGTACCTGGAGCTCTCCATATGAAAGTCCGGCGAGAATCAGACTGCAAGCTAAACCTGGACTCATTGGAAAACATTACACAAGCCCAATGTTGCGGTGTCCACAATGCATGCTCTCTACTCCAGGCTAATCGCAGGCGACAGTGAGTTAAGGTAAGTGGAACGCATCTGACAGGTCTACAGGCATATAGACCAATCTGCCCTACGCGTCTGTACACGGTCTACCTTGAAATTGTCGTACCAGTGGCTGAAGAGAGCTGACGAGACAGGTCTGAGGCGGTGCTCCGCCTGTTTCTTTTGGCAGTAACTGTCAAATACAGGTTCTCTTTTGGCATTGTAACTCTGGGGCAACCTGTGCAGTAACGTCTACTCACATTACCATGACCTTGGAATCGTTGCCAAAGCCTGGAGATGACACTCTGGGCAATTCCAAGTTCGTCTGATACTTCCAGTTGGGTACGCCCACATTCCAGACGGCCGATAATTCTACCATGTAAAAAATCATCCAAATGCGCCCTTTGTGTCATAACTATTCGGTTATTGCACTGAAATGCTTATAAAGCGCCTGTGTGCAATTTTACTTCTTTGCCTGTATTCCTTATATATCACTCTCTTACACTCTCGTCATTGTGACGTACCATCGGTGTCATCTGGTTACTTCCTGAAATTTGCATATGATTCTTGAAGATGTGAAGATGTGTGTAATGATTTTACAGGTGATATATTTATTTTAGAGTTCGATTTCCGCGTGACTCAATTATCCTTAATTTATGGACATGAGTGTACTTTTTAAGCATTAGCTATTTTTTAACTTTCCTCTTTTGTGCATATATTTTTTATATTATATATAATTATTTTTAAATATTATATATTATTTTTAAGGTATTTAAGGTTATATAATTACAAAACAATTATTTTGAAAATAAATTTAAACATGCGTAGTATTTTCGTGCATTTAGTTGCAGAAAAATGATCATAAAGACATTAAGCAAGAAATTTAGAACTAATTTTTCACAAAGACCAAAAATTGAAATTCATAATTAATAAACAAAGAATTTAAAAATTGTTGAAACCAAAATTTTTCAAACAAGAAAAACCCCATTTCCAAAAAATAATGAAATTTAAAGAAAAATGAATTGTTGCATTTATAAAATTATTTAAAATTGATTAATTGTGAATTTCAATTTTTGGTCTTTGTGAAAAATTAGTTCTAAATTTCTTGCTTTATGTCTTTAAGGTTTTATATATAGAGAGAGATAATTAAATTTGGCATTTAAAATGAGTTAAGAGTATGTGAAGTTTTTATAACTTTTTTAATCTTGTCATGAATTTAATTGGCAGTTTAACAATTGCTTTATATTTTATTATTTCCCATTAAAAGCAGTTTATGCGAATTCTATTTTTTCCAGATAAATGTTATCAGTGTGTGGATCAAATAATAAAAGAATTATGTCTTATAAATTAATCCTGATTATTAGCAATTAAATTCATTATAAACATTATATATAAGAATTATTAAAACATTATGTATAAGAATTATATATAATGCATTATATATAAGAATAATTTTCTAATTTTAGGGCAATAAAACTAATTATATACACATTCTCTGGTACTTATTAATTGGGTAGTAATTTTATTTTCACATAAAACTTGCAAATATAGTCATGAAAAATCATGACTATTTTTGCAAGTTTTATGAGATTGATTTCATAAATATCAGATAAATTTGCAAAATTTGCAAACATCAGTTTTTTTTTTTGTATTATTTTTTAATTTAGATAAATAATTATTTTGAGTTATTATTTAGGTAAATAATTATTTTTACTTGAATTAATATCAAAAACTGTAATGAAACTTAATCTATTAGATCTTTGAAACTTTGTTGTTTCAAAACATTAAGATTTCAGTTTAAATCCGCGTTTAGTAAGATTTGTGGAATATGGAAAAGATTCTTTCCCTAAGCAACATAAATTCATCATATATTACCTGTCAGTACCTAAAAATAGCATCAAGCTATAAGATGTATTCCAAATTAAAATCTTATGTGACAGAATTACAGAAAAATATTGTGTTGTTTTATTTTTTTTTAATTGTAATAAAACTTCAAAGTAACACAAATGTAAAATTTTACGTTGTGTAATTTAAAAGTTGGTAGGTCTGGAAAGATTTATTCTATCGTTTAATACAGTCAAAAGTCATTAATTCGGACACCCATAATCCGGAATGATCTATAATCCGGAGCTCAAAGCTAAAATCTTTCTGCGAATGCGCCGCGTTGACACATGCGCATAGGCGTTTTACGCGTGCGCGCAAGACATTTACGACTGCGCATATGCGTCTGCGACGTTTTCGCGTGCGCGTTTAATGTATAACGGATGGTATAAGCTAAAATTATCTAATTATCTATTTCAGTTAATGTTGATAATTGCGTTGTTCCTTAATCTTCAAATTGGATCCGGCTTATTATTTTTTGCAGATTGTAAGAGCAATTTTATAAACGTAAACTTGAACTTTCGATTATGTCAAATAGAATTTCCGATGCTGGAGCTCCCAAAGGATCTAGAAAACAAAAGTATGCTTCGATGTCCATTGAAACAAAAACGTGGAATTGCTACAAAAAATGGATAAAGGCATGAAGAAAGTGACGGAGAGGTGATTTGTTTCTCTAACCTTTCCGAAATCTGTTTATCAATTTCACCCTGCTCTGCGCGGGGGGGGGGGATGTCGCGGCGCGCGCAATGAACTGGAAGTTGATCCTGTCAGCACCATCCTCGTTATCTTCAAAGGCAGATCTTTTTATTTTATTCGGCTTATAAATTCCTTACTAAATGTAGTGTTTCATCTCGATGTACCTCCGTCTTTGATATGATTTAAATCAAATTTCCTCGTCATCATTATAAATATCACGAATACAAATCAAATAGTTTTCTGGTTGCAATTTTCTAATTTCGGCTATGCGTAAGGTATGCTTTACGCATGCGCATGTTGAAAGAAATGTTTAATAAAGTAAACAAATAAATATTAAGCTTCTTTTTTTGTAAATGTTGATACCCTTTAGATCATAACTGCTGATTATTTTATAAATTACAGTTTCATATTTTTAATTTTATAATTTCTGCATGCCATCTTACCAAATTTAAACTGATGATCTATAATCCGGAATAGCCGAAGTCCCGACGAGTCCGGATTAAAGACTTTTGACTGTATTATCTTCTTTGCAGTATGTGATTTTGAGTAGTCCACATTCAAGTTATGCACTGTAACAAAATTTCTGCCTCTTTTTTAAAAAAAATCAATTGCTGATAATATTTACATCCATGAATTTTTATCAAAATGCAGACCTAAAATATTTATTATAATTTCCAAATTTTTAAAGAATTTATAAAAAATTGAGAATTCTGAAATGTAAAGAATAAAATTCTCTAAAATTAGATTCAAGATTTTGTCATAAATATCAAGATTTGTTATAACAGGAGCTTAATTGCTAATTTTCGTCTGAAGAGAGATAAAAGCATTCAGAAATACTCAGGAATTACAATGTTCTATTCTTGATATGTCTAAGATTGTCAAAATTTAGAAACCTAGACACCTAGACACTTGATGTAAAATTTCTGTAAAATATATGTTGGAACTTTATTTGCTTAAAAGTATGTTTACATGATTTTCTACATTTTTATACTTTTACTTGTTTAAGATTTAATGCCTATAACTTTTCTTAAAGCATTGGAACCAAGGGTTTGTACAAGATGGGAGATGCAACATTATGCAAGGGAAGCATATGATCTGGGTGTTCGATACATTGGTGGCTGTTGTGGATTTGAATCATATCATATCAGAGCTGTTTCGGAGGAGCTTGCTAAGGAAAGAGGAAAACAACCAGAATCATCCAAGAAGCATGATCCATGGGGTGAAGGTTTAAAGATGCATACAAAACCCTGGGTTCGAGCAAGGTATTGTGAATATAAATTTATTATACAGTGTATTTTCGATTATCTGGGCTAATGCTGAGGTATCAGATCATGGGTAAATGAAAAACACAGATAAACGAAACTATCAATTTTCATGCATATTGCATATGTTTATTTCTTTAAAAAAATGAGTAATTTTACTTTGTTTTTAAGAACATTAAATATTTGTCAAAGTTTGGTGCATGTTTTTCAAAGTGCTATTTCATCACTGTATTCGAATCCCCTTTGATCATTGAAGTCCAATAGAATTTAACAGAAGTTATTGCTATTTAGGACTAACGTTATTGTGAGTATTTTTGCTTGTATTTTTAGTACTGCTGTCTGCCTCTTTTATTCTTGTGACATTTGAAATAATATCTGCATCATTTAGGTATTGAAGTCCAGCTGAGTCAAATATTGCCATTTAACCATTCCTTGATATTTTCCTGACTGATATTTTTAAAAAATTGTAGATTTTCAGTTTTTGTTGTACAACTTCAGTTATTGCATCAACTTCTTCAAAGTAATCATTGAAACCAAACCTAGACACAATTCAGCAGATTCTAGAACATGCTCAGACTTGATCATATTTGTTTTTTACTCATTCTCATGCATAGCTTTTGAGTGCATGTGCATTTGCACTGCCATGCAAGGATAATTTGTAAGCCAATGAATCAAGAGTGCACTGTACTTCTGCATTTTGCTTTTACAACGGTAAAATTTCATATCGTTATACTGGAAGAATTAAGTCTACTGCAGAAATAAATTAACTGCATTTTTCAAAGTCTGACCTTTATCCGTGAACTTTATACCAACTTAGGTCTTCCCATTGTTCTTGAAGTTACTGTTGAATGCAAGTTCCTTAAAGCTTTGCCAAAACTTTATATAACTGCTTTGGATCAGAAATTTTTTACAAAAATATTTGGACAACATTTTATTTATTTAATTTGCAAATGACATCAGTGTATCTCATCAAGTGAAATGGCTAGAAATTCTTTTAAACTTGTTTTATAAATGAGTATCTTGAAGAAAAAAAAAATTTAAACTCTTTCAAAACAATAGCTGCATTCAATTTCTTGAATGATATCTGTGTAAATAGAGTTGTAAAGGATAAATATAATTGCACCTTTGCTTTGTGGTTAATGACCATCATTACTTTTCCAGAGCTGATACCTGTCTGCATACAGATCCTTGCTGCATTTGATATATAGGTGAAAATTGAGCATTAAATACTACAGTAGAAGTCCAGAAATCCGCAAAGCTTGAGACCAGAGGTTGTGCGGATTTTAGGACAGAAAAGATAAATCATAATATTCAGACTAAAAGTGCAAAATAAAAAAGGCATATTAGATAGATTTAATTAAATTATTATATACATTATTGCAATAACTTATTATATGCATTAAATTATTATTACATATGTAAATTGATTATATTATTCATTGTATTATATGTACACAGCTTCAAGGCTTGCTGATTTCGCCTTATGCAAAGATTTCCGGTTTCGGATTTCGATGTTAGAATCACTGTTGCTGTAAAATTTCAACAGCTTTTCTTTATTTTTTCCGTATATCATACACAATTGTGTCGCAATTCCATACGATTCTGCTATAAACCGAGGAGTAGCACCTGCCTCCATCTTTTGCAGAATTTGGACTTTTTGCGTTACTGTCAATGCAATGTGTTAACATTTTTCAACGTTGCAAGCAGTAAAACCCTGAGTGCATTTCTTATCTGCAATAGTATTAGAAAGGGCTGAAATTAAAAATATTCTTAATTTATCCACAAAATATCCGGATTAAAAAAAAAAAAAAAAAAGCAGTGCTAAATAATCTCCTGAAATAACAAAGCTCAGAAAATACAACAACATGAATCGTGAACTTGAAAGAACAGTTGAGTCAATCATCTGCTTTTTACCTCGATGCAGATTAGAAGGGAAAAAACTTTTATCATGATGTCAATAATTTGGTATTTCCATTATGACTCATTATTATTCGGTAGGTATTTTTTCTTCAATATTTCATACTCAATGGTGAGGTTTCTGGAACCTATAAACTTAATGTTTATATTTTGAGAGGCAACGCAGATTTCAGGAATTCTTGGATTTTCGTTATTTGACTGTATTTATAAAACTAAAACATTTTTGAAAACTTTTGTAATTCATATTTTTAAATGTTCATAATTGTAAATATATCAAGGGGCCTCTCTCTCACTGTGTATACATTTTTTATTACATTTTATTTCAAGAAGGCAATCTGTATTATTTGTTATAAGTACAAAGAAATTAAAAAAAATCTTGCATGTCATGATTTTTTTTCCTATTGATTTATTATTATTATTATTGTATGAAAGTGTTTATGCATACATGTATGCATTCAGTTGGAAAGAATAATGTTTTATTAACCTTTTCATGATGGTGCACCTTTGTTTAAGACGCCCGTGCGGGACGGAAAGGAATCGAAGGCAGTCACCGTACAGAACGGAGGTTTTGCAACGCTAAGCCTAATTTTATAAAAAAAAATCAGGGGAAAAAAAAAAACCAGTTTCGTTTCTAGCATCGTAATTTTTGTTATTATTTTAGATTATTACTTGAGCTCTTATATATGTTAAAATTAGCCCTTAATAACGTTTTTTTTCTTTATTTTACATGAAAATATACTTAAAAAATTGCTTATCTTGTAAAATAATTTTCGGAAGCGCTATTCAAATTATTCCAAAGTTTTAATTGATAAGATCCATAAATAAAGTTTTAAAATTAATAAAACAACACAATAAAGACTACAGTAAGAAGTAACAAAATTTAAAATGAAGACTGAGTGTGGTAAATTTCGAAGCACGGAGAAGTATCACTTTCTAACTCTTTTGAAAATGAATCATCACTCTCATCTGCGTTAATTAAATGGTTCATTGACCATACGAGGGTATTCTTCCTCTGATAAATAGCGCCTTCCCGCCATAAAAGACTGGAGATGAGGCTTTCCGAAATAAAAAGAGAAGAAACAGAAATATATCTGAAGGCAATGCAAAACGTAACAATACTCCACTGACTAACCCTAAAAGGCCGTACATAGTAAAGGAAAAAATAGAATAAAAAAAGGAATTGGATATAAATCAGACATGCGAATGTTTTCATTAGCATGCAGCGACTTAAAGAGCTCACCTCTGTTTACGCTTTCTCTCCCAAAAGCTGATGAGTAAAATAAGTCAAGCAGAATATATCAAACTCAAGGTCAGAAACCTAAAACTGTGTTCATTTCAAAAGTAATGGACATAGGATGCCATTTAGTGGTCTTCAGAAAAATGTTCCAGCTTAAAATGCGTATATGCATCACCCGTCCTTTGAATGCAATCTCTAGCAATGCATGGATGGGATGCCCCGCTATAAGAGACGTTCTAAGTTGTATATGGGACGCGTGTCCTGGAAGGGTTAATTCGGTTTTGTAGATTAATACTAGTTAAAAATTCATTTTTTAGCTAAACAGAAATAGTGCCTAATAATTCTGTAAAATATAGCATTAAAAGTATTTACTTGAAGAGCAAAAAATCTAATACGTTTTTTGAAAAAAAAATTAAAATTTGAAGCAATTTTGTAATTTTAGGGCAAGAAAATCTTACTGGGAAAACCTGAATCCATCAACAGGCCGTCCATATTCCAGTGCATTTTCTAAACCAGATAACTGGGGAGTTGCAGGATCTGAAGAGTTAAAACAGAAACCTGAATCCACTACTGTTGAAGAATTGCAGAAAGTATTTGCTCATAACTCTAAATGAAAATGAATTTCATGTAGTTTTATACTTTTTTTAAAAAAATTCTTGTTTTCACAAGATGACTATTTCCTGAACACAATGTGTTCCTGTGGTCATAATATGTAATGTTTTGTCAGCTTTTATTAAATGTAATTTTTAATTTTAAACATATCTGGATCAGTCAAAGTGCATTTGTATTTTTTGACTATGAATAAAAATTTTGTCACCATAAAATATAATTTTAGTCCGTTATTTGTATTACATCCATTGTGTGAAAAACAAAAACAAAAACAAAAAAAAAAAAAAAAAAAAAAAATTACTCCAAAGGGGCAATTTGCCCTGAAAAACTATTAATTTTGTTTTGTAAAGGAAGTCATGTGGTGTATACAACAGATTTCTTTTAGAATGGAAGAGAACATGAGTTAAGCTGATGGGTTTAAATTGCAGCAAAAACAAAAATATCCACACCATACTTTGTTGTGTTGTAAAATGCTATTGAATAAAGCAACTTCTTGAGACTGTCTTCAGTTTTTACAGTAGAATGTAATGAGCTCAGTAGAAAAAACTTCTGTTTTTTTTGCCTTGATAGATGGTAAGTGTGATATCATGTTTCACTATTGTTGATGAATAAAGATTACTACGCTTATTTTTCAAAGATATAGGAGTTTCTCTTCTGTTCTTTTTCATTGTGCCGACCATAGTTGTACTTTTTTATTTTAGCATTTCTGCTAATTTAATGCTAGTAAAGTAGTTATCTGTGGTAATATTCCTCCCTTTGTATAGATGTGGCTCTGTTAACTTTATGACAACATTTTCAGACAAACGTAATTGACGCTTCGCTGTTTCATCTTTTCCTAGACAAGGAGATCCATTCAAGAAGTATTTAGTATCAACGTCGACAGATAACCAAAATTTTATTCCAAATTTGTCAGGTTTCTTAGGCATATATTTTGTAAATCTACACCTAGCTTTAGATGGGAATAATTGTTCATCAACTGTAATATTTTGTCATGGCCGGTAGCACGTTTTGCAGTTTGTTCCATATCTGATGCAAGAGCAAATTTATCAGTCTGTAATTGAGTAGATCTTGTTGTCTTTTCATCGAACCTTAAAAATCGTTTTATTTCTTTGAATCTATCTCTTGATATAGTTTCTTTCCAAAATAGTATTCCCCAAGCTGTCCTTGGATTCACTAATAGTTTGTGTCTGGAATTCATCTTCAGTTTCTACAAAAAAATTATCAATTTCACCTCTGTCAGACTCATTTTCAGATAGCTCCTGCAACAATTTTTAAATTTCTTCACCCGTAAGACCTCTTTTCCGCTTATTAGACATATTTTGTAAAAGCTGAAAAAAGTAGAAAAATATCAGACTATCAGAAAACGATAGGGAATATATTCTCACAGCGTAAAGGGACGTTGCTAATTTTTCATAGGTCATTTGACAATGCCTCGAGCAGAAAGAAGGATAAAAGTAAAGGGGTCAAAATGACCCCCGTTTGTCGTTCTAGGAATACATGCCAATATTTCAAAAACTAACAAACCTAGAATGCTGAAAATTTTTTTACAAATATTATTGATTTAGGAAAAGTAAAAAAATTTCAAACGATTTCTTCCAATAAAACAAAAGTAATCAATGGTCAAAAGTGTTCAGAAGTCAAAATTACCCCTACCGCCGTTCTAGTGTTAAAAAATATATTAAAAATGTTAGTGTGTTTTTCTCTTACATTTATTTTATATGATTTTTTGTTACATGATAACAACTTTGTATCATTATTAAATTTATTATAAATTTAATTAATTTTTTTTAATCATTAAGATCTTGATTTGATCTTGGAATCATTAAGATTAATTGCTGGTGCATGGCTATCGACCCATTGATCAATATTGACCTCCTTTAAAATTCCATCCACCCTCAAAGGGTCAATATATCGACCCAGTTGGGAACTCCTGTGCTAAATAGATGCTGTTTATTTTTCATTGCACTCTGGCACATAAAACAACTTTAGTATTTTAGAAAAGAATAAGAAAAATGAATTATATCACAAAATCATCTAGAAATTGAATGACGAATAAAGAAAAATAAAATGATTAATATTATCACATTTACCAAAAGAAATGAACAATAAATCCAGTTTAAAAGAAGTCTGATGTGTAGCCACATATAACCTGCCAGTTCCATGTTTTGAATAGCAATTAGCATTAAGCAAATTAAAAAAAAATATTTATAAAAATATAGTATCTAAATTGGCAACCAGCAATGATTTGAAATTCCCAGCTTTGCCACTATGTAAAATCAAAATTACATTTTGAATACATATTCTGGTATTGGCATGAAGTGAAGGTTAGAAGCTAGTTGTAAATGTATGTGGTTTGGAATTGAAACAAAGTTTCATTTCATGTAAAGATCATGCACAAATAACATTCTGAAATATATAGTTTGCAATAAAATCATTGTAACTATCTTGTAATAAATTAATTTGTAATATATATATTTTTTGTGATAAAGTTTCATACCAAAATAATGCATATTGTTATTTATTTTGATTCACTTTTAATTGCCATACCCCAGCGTGTAATGTGCAATTGCAGAAGTAATTTTACCTCTAGTGCTGATCATGCGCTGGTGCGTAGTAATAAAATTCTATGCTTAAAGGCTTAGTAATCATTGTGCTTCAAAGAATAAACTTTTATTACCTCTTTTAAATCATTTCTTATAATAAGTCGGCATATGGGAATAATCTATTTCTATGACACAGCATTAACTATCAATACAACTTCACATGACCGGCAGTAAAAGTGTTAAACAAGACTTTGTATTATTTTCCACCATTAAAGGTATTTAAAATTTTCAGTTTTTTAATACATGCAACACAGATACTTTTAAAATTTTTATTTCATTGACACAACAGGTACAGTTTACATGGATAGCAAAGAATATAAAATTATATCATTTTGTTTTTAAAATATTTTAAGGAATGCCAAAGGAACATGAAATGGTTAATGATCAGTGATATTATATACAAGAATGGAATGAGCTCAATCACAGTATTTCATGTCTGTTTAATTCAGTTGAGATATGAAAAACAAAAATAATGAAATACATTATTTATGTGATGGATACAAGAAAAACACTTTTACAACTTCACTGATAATTGTGTTTCATTTGTATATTAATCATAATATTTTGGATCTACTAAGTTATTATAACATTTGTTAAATATGTGCTAATATTCAAAATAAATATTTCACAAATCTGTATTAAATATTGTCTTTGGTCTTAATCACTAGATAAAAACCATAGAATCTATTTAATACAACTTCAAACAGTACCAGCTGTTGACTTCACATTTTGGAGGCTTAAAAATAATTAAGTTATTGTGTGTTCAATTGATAACAAAATGTTTTCTTTACAAAGGACATGCAACACGTTTTTGCTGATTATCAATATCAAAGTACTAATATATTAGATTTTAATACATATGTTCTATTATTAGGTATATTAATTTTTTTACAGAAGTCAAAATAGAGCAATATAATTGCACATGGTGATGAAGACTTGTAATATTTGTCACAAATCAAGGAATATATAATTTTTTAATATAAAAAAATTACATATGAAAATATATTACAATTATTTATTGATATTTATATTCTACAATAGTTTATATATGTGGTTAACATAAACATAACTAAAATCCGTATATGTAGTGCATAATGTACTGAATATTATGCAATGAAGGAAGTGCCTGCTGAGACAACAGACGGCATCAAAGCATTCTGTTGACACACACAAGAAAGATTTGTGGGCGGAGAAGAAAGTTAAACATCATACAATTAAAACAGTTTAGTGTTAAATTATAATTTATATGCAGTACAGGACTTTAGTAAAAAGCAGCATGAAAGAAAAGCTAACTGTTCAATATGTAATTATTTAATTTGTGTGTTTACATTTGAATAATTTTATTTAAGATATAGAATTGTATTCAGAGTTTTAACTAAAATGTTTTAAACCTAATATCAAAATGCTGATGAATATGTTGAACTCAAATACAAAAAAAAAAAAAAAAAAAAAAAAAAAAAAAAAAATGATTAAATTTAAGTAAAGGATTTTTATAAAGCATTCACACTTGTCTTCCTTTCTGCCTTTAGAACTGACATTTTAAAAGTGCACATTAAAAGGATTTTACAACAATCAACATAAGATTTATATATGTGAAATAACACATAACAAATACAATAAAAAGGAAATCTGTCAATGTACAAAATTGGCACATGTATAAATATGGAACCATATAAGTTCAAAAGGACTAATATGAAATGTGAAACTGTATGAATACTTTTACTTGAAGGAACATATGAAGTAGGAATCAGAAACTTGCTCTGATTTAACTTCACTTTAAGCTCAATAAATATTTTCATTAACCTGAGAGTGAACTGAAAAAATTTATAAAAGAAAAACTTTTATATAATAAAATTCAGTAAACCCTACTTTTTTTTTTTTTTTTTAATATTGTTTGATATGTGCCAACTCTAACACTATTGTGATTTAATTATTTAAAGACAAATCCAGGTTTCCTTTTTTACTCAAAAAAGGGCAACCCATAATTTTTAGAATTCTCATTATTCGTCAAATCACAGTCTGATGTATGATAAGAATGTATGTACAGTAAAGGACTTAAGAATAAAATGTAAGTACACTGGTTTGATTGCCACGTATGAGTAGAAATGGTGGCATATCTTTAGTAAGAGTTTCTAACCATGCCATATATAGTGCTGCTGAACATGTACTTTTCCTAGGCATTGGCAATGTCCTAAAATTATAAAAATACATATTTAACATAAGAATGTTAAATTACATGACAAGCAAACTGTATAATTATTTGATAATGCGATTATAAAATGATGAATTATACTTACATGACTATCAGAACAGAATCCTTAGAATGTTTACGCAACAACTCCGAAAGTCGAATATGACGATTTGTCTAGAAAAAAATAATATTTTGATAACTTGACCACTAAAATAAGTAAATAAATAAATGTTTCATCTTATAATTATGCAACAAATATCATTAAAAAGATCAATTCTAAAACAAACTTTCTGAGTGGCATGACTACTTTTATCTTGTCACAAGGTTCAATGATGCTTAGGATGCATTACCTTGTTATTTAATTTATTTTGTTCTGATACTTTTTAAGATTTAAATAACATCTGAATAAATGCAAAAATATGAAAAAGGAGTAAGGTAAGTAATTACAAAAAGACAAGTAATAAATACCATATGCATACAGTGCACGAAAATGAGTAGATTCAAAGGCCATACTGATTCAAGAATTAAGGAAAATGATTTTACACTATATCATGTTTAAAATAGATATACAGTCAAAAGTCATTAATCCGGACTCGTCGGGACTTCAGCGATTCCGGATTATAGATCATCAGTTTAAATCTGGTAAAATGGCATGCAGAAATTATAAAATTAAAAATATGAAACCGTAATTTATGAAATAAAGAACAATTATGATCTAAAGGGTATCAAAATTAACAAAAAATTAATAATAATAATAAAAAAGAGATTAATATTTATTTGTTTACTTTATTAAACATTTCTTTCAATGTAAGTTGTTTAAGTTGCTTCGTTTTATGTGATAATACTTTCTCTTTAATTCTATAAACAGACATAATTTCTTGTTCAGTTCCAAAGTTCCGCTGTTCAAGTCCTGTAATTGCTGTGTCGAAAATACCAACTAATTTGTCAGTCGAAATTTTTTCGTTTTCAATAACCTCTGTGTCACTTTCTTCACTATTAGAAGCGAATTATAATGACGAGGAATTTGATTTAAATCATATCAAAGACGGAGTACATCGAGATGAAATACTACATTTAGTAAGGAATTATAAACCAAATAAAATAAAAACACCTGGCCTGAAGATAAGGATAGTGCTGACAGATCAACTTCCAATTCATTGCACGCCGCGGCGGCACACGCATATGCGCAGCCGTAAAGGTCTTATGCACATGCGTCAATGCAACGCATGCGCAGAAAGTTTGTAGCTTTGAGGCCTGGATTATAGATCATCTCAGATTATGGGTGCCTGAATTAACGACTTTTAACTATATCAAACACTTAGCCATTTCACTGAAGGTATTATTTAATTATATATGTAGATGTAATAAAAGAACTGAACAAGTGAGTTCATGTCTATTTTATGTGAGTTGTGTTTGCTCTCGACAACATTTAATGCAATAAATATGATTGAATTTTCAACATACAGCTAATACTATTAAAAATTAATGAATTAATCAAGTAAGTTATTTGAGGTGAAGCTATCAGTTTATTATTTAAAAATAGCACTCAAATATTTTGAAAATTGGCTTACAGATTTATTAGAAAAAATATGAAAATCTAATATCTTCTAATTTGTATTAAGTATTATACAAGTATTCATTATGGAGATGTTTATTGCTTGATTATTTGTGCACATATTAGAATTTTAACCTTATTTTGGGACTCTTCTTACATTGAGCAACGTGACTAACATTGATTTTTATCATGGGAACAATGTAAAACGAATTAAATGCAATTTTTTAAAAATAATAATAACTATTATCACTAAACAGAAGAATTTAACACAGAAATTTGCTGATCCCATTATTATGATTTATATTCAACATGAAAGTCATAGCCATGATCAAAATAACAGTGGTTTTAAACATTTTTAGTTGTGAAAATAAAATTGCATCACTTTTCTGTCGTTTGATAGATAGTAGATAAAATTCCAAAATGAATAATGTTCCAGTATTAATTAATTATACATATACATTTATAGGTACAAAAATATAGCAACAATCAATTTGACAAGAAATTTGAGCCAAGTTTGAAATAAATTATTTTACCTTATCTTTTAAAGCATAAATTTCTGATTCAGTTATGAAGCATTTCCCATCATCTCCATCACTTTGCCATTTTGTGATCAAAGCTTCAAATTCTTTTTTGCTGCAAAAAATAAACAATAGCATGTCACAGAGTAGACCAGAATTTTTGTTTAAAAGGAAATTATAGGTTACATTACACTACTCTACCTGGCTTCTTCAGGTGGTTTCACAATATCAGGAATTACTGTGACATCAGAATAATCAATCCGAAATTTATTCAGTAATGCTGCCATACTAAAAAAAAATTTAAAAATCATATTTTACTAATTGATTACTCTAAGCTAAATATTTTCAGATGAGTTTTTAATATTAATAAAAGGAAGGTGTATTTGCATAAACAATTATGGTTTGGTTTTATTTTATTAGATTACGGCAAAGCACTCGAGGGCTATCTGCCTTGAGAGAGGGATGTCTTTGGGGAGGACTTTCTAAGGGAAACTGGCTTGTATACACATTACACATGGGGAAAACCACGAAAACGCCCATGCAGCCAGCCCGTTTGCGGGATTCGAATCTCGGACCGAACTACCAGTGTTCAGCGATGTTACCGCTTGCCCACTGGTGGGCCCTCATAAACAATTATGTATTTGAAACTCACAATGCTTAATGATTCTCTCTAGACTTAAAAAAAAATTATGCAAAAATACTTCAGAATGCTCTTATTTTTTAAACACAAATGCTGTTTTGGCAAAAGTTTAAGTTTAGCAAGATATTAGAAATCACATTAATTTACATATGAAATATATGTAAATTGCAGAAAAGGTTTTTAAAGTTATTAAAATCACATATTATATAAGCTAATTCTTTTAATACTTTTTAATTAATACTTTAGCAAGGAGTGTTTAATACACTGTTGGTCAACATTTTGGATTTAGTTACATGTTTGAAGAAGGTTAGTATTAATGAAATGGAAGAGTGGGCTTGGGTAGATGTAGATAACTATGTTCCCACCACAATCTCTGAAGATAACAATGAAACAAGAGAACATATACTGCTAATGAAGAGAAGGGGAAGGATGGAGATAACAAATGAGTGGAAAGAATCCGATGAAGGATTGCTGAAAAATACTCATCAATGCCAGTACATGATTTTTATGAAGTTTCATTCACACACAGCAAATTTTTGCAACTACAACAATAATCCTGTGAGCAAGTAGTTTGGTTTGGTTTATTTGATTATAGCAAATCACTCAAGTGCTATACGGGAAAGGAGAGGGATGCCTTCGTGGAGGACTTTCTAAGGGAAACTGGCTCATATACAAGAATACATGGAGAAACAAGTTATACATGGAGAAAACACCCATGCAGCCAACCCATACATAGGATTTGAACTTCAAACTGAACGAGCAGTGTTAATTGACTTTACTACTCAGCTGCTTGTGAGCAAGTAGACATTCAAAGTTATATGCAATCCCACTAAGAAATTCATATCTTTCATGTGAAATATAGTTATTTTAAAATGTTCCTTAATTTTGTTTTTCAATATTATTTATTTAATTGTAGCTGATCGATTAAAAAAAAATGACTAACGGACTTCGCATACTGCAGTTTCTACAGATGGGGGGGGGACATTTTATTGTTCTTATTCTCCTTCTGTTAAGCATTTCTTTTATTTTCTCAATTCTTTTGATATAAATGAAGTAATACATTACTGAAATCACATGAAATGTGAAATCTGTAGAGAAACTGTGATAAAGGACATAGGTGTACCTAGCCAGTTTTTAACCAGCTTGATTCATATCCACCAATCTGCAATTTCAATTGGCATCAGTTTTAGATAATTGATTTTCATCAGTTTTAGATTTTGATGATTAAAATGCAATCAAATTATATTAACAACTTAATGCAGTAACTAATTGTAATAATGTCTATACTAATAGTAAATTAAAGTTACTATGCAATTCATTATTCTAACTGTTTATTTATTATCAGTTTTCACACTTACCCATCATATAAATTCTTTGATTATATTTAAAATAGATAATAAAATATTCTGAAATAAAGTTTCTGCAATCAATTTTAATTTATGTTGGTTTTTCTTTAAAAAAATGTACAGTTTTAAAACTAAAATGTCAACATATTTGAACTAAACTTCTAAATATTCGTTTTGACAGCTTATAAAAAAAAGTTAAAATACATGTATAGGTATCATCCACTTGGCATGAAAAATTAGCATTTTCTTGAGCAAAATGGCTGTGATTTTGCCATTTATGTGTAACTTTAATTTTTTTTAATTGCATGAATGATTACTTAGGATACAAAAGAACATAATCATAACAAAAACTAATTTTTATTTAATTTTTTAATCAATTCCTGTCTTGTGAAACAATGGATCAAAATAGAATAGGATATTTTGAATTGTTGCATCTATTTTCTATGTATGAATTTCTCCTTAAGGCGCTACACACACACACACACGCACAAAAAAAAAAAAAAAAAAAAAAAAAAAAACCACCTTTGAAAGTGACCACTTAAGACTTCATTGATGAGGGGTATGTTTAAGAAATATTTTTAATTAATGAAAAACTTTGCCATACACTATTTGAATAAAATAACAAAAGATAATAAATAAATAAAATAAAAAAAATTTTTTTTTTTTAATCATTAAACTGTTAAAAAATATTCTAAAACCAACATTTTCTTTAAGAGTTCCAAAAATTAAAAAATCCATTAAATTTTTTTTGATCACGTTAAGGTTTCTTATTAACAAGACATGCCTACTAGAAACTCAAAATTTTGAGAGAAAAATCAAATGGAAGAAAATCTCACCACAAAAAGTGTAAAATTTAAAATTAAGAGAAAAAAAAAAAAAAAAAAACATTTTGACATAGGTTTTGAATACAACTGTATCAGTTTTGAGGGTGATTAGACAGTTCCTTATCTTCAGAAGCTTGGGAAGAGTGACAGGTGCTTATATACAGTAGTGGGTGGATTCTTGAGAACCAAACAATGAATTTTACTGATAGGTGAGAAAATGCCATGAAAGTTGGAACTTCTAGAGAATCCGAATGATTTTATAACTGGGGGGGGGGGAAGATGAAATAGAATAACAACAAAAATTACAGTTATTTCTAATAGTGTTATGTCTTTATTGATGACAAGAAGAAGGAAAACAAATAAGGCTTTATTTATGACCGTGTACTCAGAAACTCAGTAATAAATGAGCTCATGAAAGAGCAAAGGTTTTGAAATAAATAAACTCTTGAGAGCACAATATGCAGAAAAGTAAAAAGAACCATTCTGCATTTAGTAGGATGGATGATTTAGTATGGAGAGGCGGGCAGACATTTTCACAGTAAACAATAGTGTTGAAATTAAATTCATTGTGAATAATTAAAATGCAAAAGAAAGGCAGATAATTATCAGATTCAATTTTGGAGGTGAAACGGATGGCTGTATCAATTAAATTCATAATGGACAAAATCTTGGTTAAATCTTTTTTATTGCTATCAAAAAATATGAGTGTGCTATCAAGATACTGAAAGATACTGAATGCACAGCCTAAAAGATAAGTTTTTCGAAAAAATTTCACCCGTTTTATTTCCAAACTAAATACTAATAGCAAACTGAAAATATAGCTGTAGCTAATATCTTCAGTCCATTACTCGATGACAAATGCAAGCATTATTTTGAGGTCAAATTAATTGACCTTTTACTATTCCTTACATATACTCTCAAAGCTTATTCAACAGAAACTCGACTTTCTCATGACATTAATTATTTGAAATTAGTGACAATTGATGAAGGATTTTTTTTTCCACAGTCATTAATCAAGCTCTTAATAATTGTTCAGTTTATCTGAAAAGACAATTCACTAATTGAAACACCCATAATAACATTGTCGTTATTCCATTTCATGCTTCCATCAGCTGTAAAATCATTGACATTGAAGTTAAACTTTCAAGTAATTTTTTCAACTATCAATAAAATTTTCTTTTTTTTTAATTTTCAAAGATTCTATCTCTGATTTTAATTATTTATCAAGATAGAATTGTTATACAATGGCCAAACTAAGCAGCATTAAAAGTTTCCATCGAGGAACATGAATCTAATATGCAAAAAGGAGAAATAAACAAATCTTTGATAGCTAGTCATACTTAAAAATATATTCACAATTTTGACTTTGATTTTGCAATCAAATGGAGCTAAATTTCCCTGAAGAGTTTCTCATTATCTCAAAATTTACTTTCTCAAGCTAATGATGCTAGTTCAATCCAGTCCTTCCTAACACTTTCAGAATTTGATAACCTAAGTTTTCCAAATTTCAATACTATTTTTCTTGACAGACGGCACTACATTCATGCTCACATTACTCTTCTCATTACTTTTGTTAAAAAAATCAGTTGCTGCTTCTCCTATTTTAGGAAAAAAAAATTCCTGAAGAAGAGGTACCTGTGTCTGACTGCTCTCAGAATTGATAAGAGTTTTATTCAAAACTTAAACAGCTCTGTAACTTGGGAGATTTCAGTTTAGATTACAGTACAAAGTCTCTTTCAGTCAAATCCGGATGTCCATTATCCGGAATGATCTATAATTCGGACCTCAAAGCCACAAACTTAAGCATGTGCGTAATGCGTTTACGCATGCGCATTTGATGCGCGCGTCTGCTACGCATGCGCATAAAGTCAGTAAAGTGTTTACCCATGAAAAAAAATAACAGAGAATTTATTGAAAACGAAAAAATTTCGATTGACAAGTTAGTCGGTATTCTCGACACAGCAAATTACAGGACTTGAACAGTGGAACTTTGTAACTGAACAAGATATTATGTCTGTTTATAGAATTAAAGAGAAAGTATTAGCACAAAAAAACGAAGCAACATAAACAACTTACATTGATAGAAACGTTTACTAAAGTAAACAAATAAATATTAAGCACTTTTTTTGGTTTTTTTTGTGTAAATTTTGATACCCTTTAGATCATAACTGCTCTTTATTCCATAAATTACGGTTTCATATTTTTAACTGTATTATATCTGCCTGCCATCTTACCAAATTTAAATTGATGATCTATAATGCGGGAAAACCCCTAATCAGGAACCGCCGAAGTCCCGACGAGTCCGGTTTACGGACTTTGTACTGTATTTAATTCTCATTTTGGCTCATTAATGTGACTTAATATGTCTTCTAATGAAATAATTCACTATTAATATGTCTTTGTCCATTTCCATGATTTTTCAATTTTGCATGAATCTAACTGTACAGATATAACCTTCATATTCTACTTTTACAACAAACAATGTCTTTTTGTAATTTCTTGAAGGACTATAGAACTATAGGAGAATCTGCAGGAAACTTTCTGTATCATTCCCTTTTGCCTTAAAATACCAAAATTTTCTTCCTTTTCTTAATTTTTACAAACACTCATTGATTTCTATAATTCTTGAGCTTGTAGATGGGGCAGGGATATTAGTCTCTTTTCTTAAATCTTCAGATGAGATATTTCTTTCAAACTATGCAAAGTTTGCTCTTGATTAATCTTAACAATGGTTCTGCTTTACAAAATTTTAAAAATAATAATTAAAATTTTTTTTGAATGTAACTGTATTGTGTTTATTATCCTAAAAACATGCTAAATAATAAAATCTTAACATAATTTTCATGTGCTGCACACTATAATGTATGCTGAGCTTAAACATTCTTTTGACTAAAATGAAAGGAATAAATCAAATCATGTTTTCATATTGCTTTTTATGATATCTGGTGTTTCTTTTACTAACTAACAGTAATTATCCTAACTAGATAAATAACTACATTAAAAAACTAACCACAATTAATGAATTACATGAAATAATGTTTTGTTATTTTCATTGCAAGGTATATTTTCAATGAGTGATCTGAAATGATTGGATATTATTTGTTGAAGTTATGTAGGATTTCATTATGTAGTTATATGTATATATACGTATATTTCACTGAAAGTACATGATTTTTTTAGTGTATTTTGATACACATATCTACCTACCAATCTCTCTCTCTCTATATATATGTGTGTGTCTAAATAAATTGCCTAAAATTAACATAAATATATATAGATTTTAAACTGAAAATACTGAGTAAAAATATATAACAAATATAAAAAATTCATTATCTTACTTGCGCTGTTCTCTGTCTAATTCATCTTTCTTATTAGCTAAAGCAAATATTCTTAATTTACAGTTGCTCCATTGGGATCTGGTTGATAATATATGAGGAATAAGCATGGTAAGTCCTAAAAGAATTAAAAAAGGAAAAAAGTGTAAAAATTTAATACCTTTATCTTGAGTTGTGCTGCATTTAAGTTAAAAACAGAATATAAAATATATCCCATGAATTGATCTGTTTTCCTATTAACTGATTTGTTCAGAGCATAGTTTTTTTTTTTTTTTTTTTATGTTAAGTGAAACTTCTTAAAGGAGGAAAAAAGTTAGTACAAATTGCACATAAAATAACACATATATGAGTGGTTTTATATATTTATTGCTTTTTTTCATCTCTTCATTATGTATGTAAACCATTCACATTTACATTTTATCATTGCTGGGAAAAAGTTACTAATTATGGAAAAGCAAAGAAAATTTATTTCAGACAATGTGACTTGTGTACAGGATTTACTAAATAACACAGATTCACATTTACAATTCATGCTTGTTAGGAAAATAACAGAATGTTAAATGAAGGATAAAATGAAAAATACAGTAATGCTATACATACTAAACTACACAGAAAACTTGCATTTAAAGTGGAAGCTTTTGCAAATGACTCATTTGCTACATCATCTAGAATTCAAATGAAATAATTTTCTCCTTATTCATTTCCTTTCACTCAGTTGCTGCAGTGTAAGCTAAAAACAATTTTCACAGACATACTGCCTTCAAAAGCTTCCAAATGAGTGCATTATCTACATTGTTTAGCATATATAACAACAATATTTTATTTATTATGTTAACACTGCATGTGCCATTTAATCTTCAAAAGACAAAATTACCAGCATTCAAAGATTTTATCAGCTTTATCATTACTTAAGTGCTGATCCTTAAAACTTTTAGAATACATAACTATTTTTTACATCTTTTGATTAATTCTTTTTATTGTATTATGAATCCATAGAAGTTTGTTTGCTTTAATGAATAATTAATATACAGGTAAATTCCAACCGGAAACTTGTAATAAGTCAGTATATTAGGTAATGGAATGTGAATTTAAAGCAAATTCTTGAATTTTCAAGCTGTTATAGTTGCACACATCATCATCTTTTAAAGGTCCACCAGTACTGAGTGGATAAATGTGTTCACTGGTAATTCATTTCAGATTTGCATCCAACAAATGAACAGGTTCACTGCATGAGGATTTTATGATTTCCCTGTATCTAATGTAAATGTGAGATTACTTAATCTTAGGAACTTCATGCACACATCTTCCTTAGGCAAGTAACTACTGAGTGTTTAACCATAAAAAAGAGTACTTAATCCATAATTTTAATGCTATTTCATTTTTATATTTTAAATGATTTTTTCCAGTCTACAGAATACTAAAAAAACTCTTTTTTTAAAACTAATCATGACCACAGGTATAAATTTAATAAATTGATATAATAAATAAAGTTAGGATTAAAATTAAACTTTTAAAGATTCACTCTTCATTTCAATCAAATATACTCACAAATGTTAGTTACAAAAATTTATTGCATGTTACATAGTTTAAGATTATCAGTAAAGTACTCATGTAAATTTATTTCAATAATGCTTCTCATAATGAAGATTTTATTTCTTTCTAGCAATATAATTTATTTAAACTTGGGCAATCCCCCATTAGTTTTACACAATTATTTGATATTTTAGTTTAACTCCTAAAGGAAACTGTTATTTCATAGCCTGCTGCTTATTTAGAGAACCCTAGTGAGAGACAATTCCTAATAGAAAGAAAAAGTAAATTATCTAATATAAAAACTTTACACAAAAGATGGATCTATTTCTGTAAAATGATATTTCATAATACACAACAAAGATGATATGAAAATAATTATACCTCCATCATCATACAGCCACCACACATCTATATATCCTTTCTTTTGCTTTCGTTGAAATTGAGTAGCAGAAAGTTTTACTTCATCTGGAATTATTGGTGCTAGAGTTTCTTTAGCTTCAAGACCTGTATTATCAGGACTTTCAATAAATCCAAAGTTTACTTGACCATGTGGATCTGAACTTACATTCCCATTTAGTGAACGAACTGTACAGGGAGAAGATGGTGGAGAGCTTTCTCGTGAACTGTCCAGAGCGCATGATGCAACAGAAACTATAGGTAAAACAATATATATATATATATAAAGGTAAAGTTAAATTAAAATTAAATAATTCTCTAGTGGCATTGCTATAAGGAATGGAATTTGAATTTAACAAACATTCTCTATTCATATAAAACTATTTTAAATTTAAATATTAAATTATGAAAGTTCAATTGTATACAAATAAAAGATCAATTATTGCTGCAAATTAATTTGCAATATCATTCAAATTCAGAAAGCATATGTAAATTAAGTACAAGTATCTAAAAACATGAAAAAATATTTATTAATCCAAAAAATTAATTAATTCGCAGCAATAATTGATCTTTTATTTGTATAGAATTGAATATTCATAATTTAATATTTAAATTAAAATTAGCTAATCTCAATAGAAGTTTTGTCTAAGTAAAATTCCCATACATGTTAAAAACCACTCTGCTTTAATATAACACAGAACGAAACAATTTTTATTATGAAATTTTTTAAGCAATAGATAACATGATGGATCATAAGGATAAAAATAGAAAATTGAAAAATCTACTTCTAATAAAAGTAGAAATAAATAAAGATCTCAGAAATTTGTTTCAGAAAACATATTTGAAATTGTACAATAATATCAAAATATACGTAAGAAAAATTATGAATCTTTAGTAAATAAGTATGGACTTCTGAAAAGTAGAACTGCATAAATTTTCAGGTCATTTTTCATTTTACATAAATAGAATAAAAGCATTAAAATTTAATTAATATATATAAAACTTTGACAACTACATGGAACTTTTTCGTTCGATCAAAATGGATTTGCTCTTTAAAACATTTGTATTATTTTTTTCTAAATTCCCAAACCATATTTTTTATTGGCATGCTAGATTTATGCATTGTATGGCATGCTAAGGAGGGAGAATTGATAATTTTCAGGCATAAAATTAAAAGTAATGCTTTAAATTTTACAATAAACTTAGGCAAGTATTTTATTAATGAGCTCTAATACTACATACTTAGAAAAAAAATTAACATATGTTTTTTAAAATTGACACAGTTCTAAGTGTAATTAAGGGAAAAAAAACTGCATTAATATGCTGCAAAGCTGTAATATCTATACATTTTATGTTTTTAATTTTATGCAATAACTAAGAAATAGAAGTAATGAATAATTCACAATCAAATTTCGTTAACATTAAAAAATACTTGCAAGTGTTACCTTCTGATAATTCAGAACAAGATTTATTTCTAAACATTCCATCATTATCTTTTTTAAGTTCTGATGTCATTTTCACACAAATTTTCTTTTCTTTCTTTGATAGTTTTGCAAGTTGTTCTAAGTGCGGAGCATATTTTGAGTAATCCATGCCTTCTGGTAGCCTCAGTATTCCAATAGCCATATGCATATCTAAAGCATCACTGATGATGAAAATAAAAATTCTACATTAACACACTAAAAAAATATACAATTACATGAAATATTTTACTGGAATGAAATAATAATTATTCATTTTATAATGATAATTCTATTACAAATTTGGTCTACACAGAGATAGATTTAATGAAGAATTATGTTACTTTCAATTAAAGCAAAAACTTATTTTTCATTGATGCCTAAAACCATGATTAATGGGCACCAAGAACATGAAAATAAATTTTCGAGATGGCCTGTACTTAAGTAGTTATGAAAATTTATTCACTAATTAGTTAAAACCAAAATTTGATATTAATTCCTCAGAAAATTATGTTGAAGTAAGGTTTAAATGGTAATAATTAAAAGTATCTAAATCATATTTATATATACTAACTAATTTCAATAAATAGTTAGACAGAAATAATTATTTTCATTAAAATGTATAATAATACATTTAAATAAGAATTCATTACTCTAATTTTATTTTTCCAACAAGAAACCCAACTTCTATGATACAAAAATATTGAAGAAAATCCATGGAAGTGGAATTTTAAGGCTGTATATAAATATATAGAAATATATATTCATTCTATATATTACATATAAATAATGCATTCAATATAGTGAACCTTTCTAAGACAGTCACCCATGGTTCTAGACAACTTTGCCTTCTATTGAGATGGTTGTCCTAGAGAAAATGATTGTAAGTAGTGGTGAGATTTAACAGGCTTATGCACGCTGTTATTAAATTTATCTCTCATTTGTGATTTTTTTGTTCTTTTAGTTTACCTGTTTATTTATTTCAAGAAAAGCACATGGCTTGCACATCATAGTCATACTTTAAACAAAATTAAATTTTACATTAAAGCATGAAATAAAAATTAATTATTTTGGGGAGTGCATTGAGATAGCTTTAACAGGAAAACTGTGTAATAAAATTCCTGATAACGTAAAGAAAGCTAATGTTTGTATAGAGAATATGTTAAGAGCATTAAAGAAGCATGAATGAGCTTTCAGCTCAACAAACAGAATTTCTAAAAGATCTTAAATTGGACAACATTTTTCAGATTTAATAACAATGTCCTTAAAATAGATAACTTTAAGAGCACATTATTCTAAATTTTATGTAAAAACTTCAGTGAAAAATTGTTATTTGGCCTCAGAACCTAATAGAAAAGGAGTTCTCAACCAGAAGAGGGAATTTTATAGTTACAGAAGTTTATGTGGTCAGCCTTTTATTTAGCCTATAATAAAGTATTTAGTTTTAATTTACGAATATAAATAACTACTTTTATTCAATTTTGGTACTTATCAACATTTTCTATATATTTTTGGTTTAATTTATAAAACATGTTAAAAAATTTTAAATCTAAATAATATATATATATATTTCAAATTTTGGGAAGGAAGGAGGGGGGATGATCTTCTGGTAATGGTGAAAAGGATGCATGAGACAAAACAGATTGAGAACTGCTATCCTAGAATATCAACTGAGGTGAATGAAGAAGGAAATAATGTGTAGCAGTTTCTGGCATAAATTATACTACATAATTAAATCTGCTCTTATTTTATGTCCCATTTTGGACAAAAAAAGCATGAATACCGTATATACCCGCACATAAGTCGACCTGCTCCACCCCCCTCCCCACTTTGACATAAAAAATTCGTAGGAAATAAGAAACCCGTGTATAAGTCGACCCCCCACTTCCGAAATCGATCGAGAAACTTCGAAATTTTTTTTTTAAGTACTACATTTATTCAAAATCATCTGAGATAAAAAAAGTAAATATACGATAAAAAATACTTTGGTAAATAAACAAAATCAAAATCCTTTAACGTCCGTTTAATGGTCAGATTCGCCAAACATTTCATAGAACTCTTCTGTCGTCATTGGCTCGTCATCATACATATTTTCAGTCTCGAACTCTGTATTGTTACAATCACTACAGCTTTCGTCGTCATTTTCACTTTCAAAAACAGCATCATCTTCCGTGCCGTCTAGTTCGTTGCTAATACAACATTTTTTAAATGATTTTATAATCATTTCAGAGGGTATTTCGTTCCAAGCATCTTTAACCCACTGAGCAATTAATGTAATATCGGGCTTTTTAATGTTGCCTCCCTTTGTAAATGTTGGTCGACCGGAACTAATCCACTCTGCCAATATTTTCTAACATTTACTTTGAAGGGCTTATTGAGGCAGACATCTAGGGGTTGAATGACGGATGTCCAATCCTCCGGAATTACGGCCACAGTCGTTTTTAGGTGTTTTGTCACTTTTGTCACTTCTTCAGAAAAGTGTCCACGAAAAGAATCGTATACTAAAAGAGAAGGTTTTTTTGAAAGCTGCTCCCGGTCTTTTATCCCACACATTTTTAAGCCAATCGACTGTTCTGTCAGCATCCATCCATCCCTTTTCATGGGCGCGAACCAGCACACATGATGGAAACACAACGTTTTTCGGTAAAGTTTTTCTTTTAAAAATGATCAATGGACGAAGCTTACTGCCGTCGGCCAAGCACGGAAGAACGACCCTAAAATGGGTTTTTTCATGCCCGGTTCATTTTTATCAAAATGCTTTTTTCACCTTGCAGTCAATTGTTTTATTTTCTGGTAGATCGAAACACATGGGGTTTTCTTCCATATTCCCTATTTGGGAAAGTTCAAAAGAAATCCTTTTTCTTACATCGATAATGTATTTTTGAAACTCCATAACCTTTGTTTCCAAATCAGATGGTAACTTTTGCGCCAGTTTGGTGCGTTGGCGTAAACACAAACCATGGCAATTCATAAATTTAGTGCACCAATATGTTGATGCACGAAACGTGTTTGGAACACCATACTTTTCTTCTTTTGCAAGCTTCATTGCTCGTAAACGTATGCCAGTTCTAGTGACAATGAAATCATTCTGCCAGCACTCTAAAACCCCAAGCATACAAGTCATTTTCGAGTTCTGGAAAATTAGCTTTTCTGGGAGCAGCGTATGACTGACGTTTCTGTTTAACTACCAATAAATCAGCCATATCAACAGAAACAAGAAGGGAAACAAAAACGTACTGACAAGAGCGAGTAAGATTTAACAGTGGGGCACGTGATTCTAGCAAAGAAGCCGTCGAATCTGGACGTTAAACCAAAGAGTTTTCTGCCCCCGAACAACCAATCAGCATTCAGCAGGCAAAAGCTTCGCCAACATATCTAAAACGCAGGATAATTTGGGAAAAATGATCGCATATAGAAACCTTCTAGAATTTATTCCGGAAAAGATTCGCGTACGTAAAATCTATCTGAATTTTCCCTTTTTAAAAGTTAAAAGAAATATTCAAAACTGTTCAGTTATTGCGTGGGCTATTTTTTTAAATTTTGACATGTACACCTGTTAACAAAAGTATTTCCTGAATGAACAATAACTATTATAAAGACTTATACGTACGTAAAAACTATCTGCATTTCTCTTTTCTTGGTGTGTTGGCGAAACTTTTTTATTGCTCGATACTGATCGGTTGTTCGGGGGCCGAAAATTCTTTGGTTTAATCGAAATTTACTCTAGTTAAAGTATGAAACTCTGTGATTAGTTCGTCACATAATTTAAGTCATGAAATTACTTCAAGTAAGTGACTTATTTGATAAGTTGTCCAATTTGAGTGCGGGAAGAAAACAACTGCATTATATAAAGAAATTTTTGAACTTCCGATTCTTTTAATTTTTTATGGCCCCGCGTATAAGTCGAGCCCTCCACTTTGAAGTCTTTTTTTTTGTCCAAAATATCTCGACTTATACGCGGGTACAGTAATTTTAAGCATTTGTTTATGCATGTAAGGATTATGTTAATTTTATTAACATTTAAATTTTGAGTTAAACTTCCTTTCTTATCGCTTCTTAATTTCACCTTACCACTTCCGACCAGATCGTAGTTTTAGAATCCCGTCTGAATGCTAATGAGGAAGAGCGGTATTTAACCTCGAAGTTCTACTGTCTTAATGAGACAGATACCAGATATTCTGGCTAGTAGCAAGCGTCTGTCTTTTTAGGCTACTCTCTCACTAAGACAGTAACACGTCGTGGTTAAATACCGCTCTTCCTCATTAGCATTCACACGATACTAAAACTACGTTCTGGCTGGAAGTGGTAAGTTGAAATTAAGAAGTGATAGGAAAGGAAGTTTAACTCAAAATTTAACTGTTAATAAAATTAACATAATTTTTACATGCATGAACTTTGTATGTTCTATTTTTGTAAAATCTAAGACATTTAAATCAAAATTTGATATTTTGGTTTCATAAGATAAAATGTTAACATTTTTATAACTTTTATCGCTCACACTAACTTTTTAAAAAATTTCACAGCTCCCCCCTAATTATTAGGTGATGCCGATTACCAGTTTGCATAATGGATTTACTCTGTTCAAAATTATTGGACAGTGTAAATCTGAAGAAAGGATATAAAGAAGGATAGAATTGCAATATATCAATTCAGCAATACCTTTATATTAATAAAATTACAAATTAATTACAAAGATGACGACTGAATAATATATACAGGGTTACTGTTGAAATTCAATTTTCAATTTCTGACTTTCCAAAACCAAAGTGGAGCAATTTCGATGACCATGTGTTATCATGGAATTTTATAACTAGCTACAAAATTAAGCATGAGTAACTGATTTATTTCATGTATTTACTATGAAATAACCAAGAATATTACAAAAATTTATTTCACTCACTGTTTTGAAGCAAAAGAAATATACGTACACTTGTCATCAAAATTAAAAGATAATGAGAGAAAATTTGCTCCCTAAGTTCATGTTCCAACCAATGCCAAAAGCTGTAATTATTTATGTTAATCAAATACAACTGAACACAAAATTGCACTTCAGCACATACGTTAGTGCCAATTCGATGACTGACAATGAGGTACAAAATGGATGCATGTTGAATTTCCAGTCTGTAATGCCATTTAAAGTTAATGTGGTTTCTGAAAATTGTCAGCATTCAGTAGTTATGGCTTAAAGGCATTATTTAAGTGAAGATCAAAAGTGGCAAATAATTGGTAGAAATCGAGGGAGGTCAAACACAAATGGAGATCACCAAGATTTGAATATTCCTCAAATTGACATATCAAGTGGTTGAAACTGCTTTTCAAGCACTGGATCAGTTGATAGAAAGCCTGTTCAAGGGTGATCAAGAGAACAGCTGCATCAGAAGACCCTTTTCCATCGTTGTGGGCTCAAAGAAACCTATAAGTGATTTAGTTTTAGAACTTTAGGCTGTCACAGGAAATCGAATTAGCCAATCTACTGCTGCACAAATGATTTGGGGGAAAATTTTTTCTCTGTCATATTCTGCTTGATAAGTGGAATTATAATGACAGGGGATCATGGTCAGAAAATGTTGTACTCTTTTCTCTTTATTTTCATACCTACACTTCTCTGCTAAAATTTTCTTCTATATTCAAATTCTGTTTTTAATATTCTCTCTATTCTCATTAGTGACACTTTAACTCTTTTGCCTTCTTTTATTGCTTGTATTGGGGGGAAGAAGCAGATCTTTTGTTCTATCACCCCTTGAGCTAGCAGTACATTTTATTTATTTCAGATGAAGCCCAGTTCTGCTATTTCTTATAATTCTCTTCTTTGGTTTTGAATAAAATTGTAATTCTAACCTAAATCCTAAAAAAGATGGGGTCCGGTACTTTATTTTATTATTCAATAATGTATGAGTAATCCAACATTATTTATTAAATTTTTGTTTACCTCTTTATAGTTTACTGAATTTTAATTATTTAATTATTTTCATTATTAATTATTTCTGTAGTTATTTTATTTATTTATTTATTTTTGCTGTTTTTCCTGACAGCCTTTCACAAGGTTGTAGTTCTTCTAATTTTAGATATTAAGCCCTAATATTAATTATGGATGCTATAATAAGTTATGGTTTTGAAATAGAGAAATTTATTATGCTTTCAGAGCAGATATATTTGAAAGTTTTCTTTCATGTGACTTTTATTTCAGAAATGTTAGCCATTTAATTAGATACACCTAAGCAGTAAACTCGAAAAACTGAAAAATTTAATTTCATATTTTAGTGATGAAACAAAAATTAGGAATTAGAAAAAACACAAAAATATGTAAATGAAATATAATAAATAAAAATATTAATTAACAAATTATAATTTCAGAAATTGACCTACTGAATGACATTAAAATATTCTTGGACTTCATCATGAGCACAACTTTCCCAATTGTTTTTATATCCCATTAGTATCATATTGGGTCTCAGTTTTCCCATTCCAGCAACCTATAAATATATTGGATTAAAATGTAATACATATATACTTATTAACAGAAGTTTTCTAGTTAAGTAATGTAAATGATTTATGATATTTTAAAGAATATCATAACATTTTGCCTCAGGTTTGGCACCATTATCATATAATTTAATTTAAAATAGTCATTATAATGTTGCTATAATTTGCAACTAAAAATGTAATAAAATGCAGTATTTAAATTAAATATTCTCAAAATTCATGATTAAATTTCTCATAATTCATAAAAATTCATAATTAAAAAAAAGTAAAAGGTCTTGGCAAAACAGGAAGTTGTTGATCAACAAACCCAACATCTTTAACTGAACTTCTGCATTATAAAAGTATGCTGCTTATTAGTAATAATATTTTATAATGTAGAATCAATTAAACACAACCGCTCCTTCATAATAATATTTTGTAACAAATGTTATAAACCTTTACTACTACAAGTAATAAAAGACACTTCTTAAAAGTCTTATAATATTACACTTATTACAAAATTTCTGATTACTACTTTTATACACCATTCATTACCTTCATCAAAAAGTAAAACTTGATAGTATACTGACAAAATTCTGTATTACCATGTAGACCAGGGATGGCAAACTACAGCAAACCTTTACAGCCTGTGGACCACCTGAAGGATCTATCCAACCCGGTGCAAATTAAAAAAATATTTAAATTGCTATATGTTATATAATACTTTATATTAAATATTACAGAGCTTGTGACAAAATAGAAAGAACATTTCACATGAATGAGTTCAAGTAGAAAAGATCTGTTATCTCATTTCAGTGCCATTTACACTGCACATTTTAAGCTTTGTGCAGTGCCTTTCTCTTGTGGCATTGTCATAGACAAGTATAACAAGACTCATATCGCCTCTTGAAAATTTCTCAGAATACGATATTTATTGATAATCTTCCTAAATGAACAAAGGCACTCTTTTTCTCTGAAGATGACATGGGAAAACTGAATTTCGGCCTTTCAGTGTAAATTATGAAGCAGTGAGGCCAGACCTGCAGCTTATCATCGTAAGTAGTTGTTTCTCAGTGTTCCAAAATCACAGTTTTACAAATCATTATTGAAAGTAAGTTTCCCAAAATTAATATCTCACACCCAGAAAATTAGCACTACGTTTGCTTAATCTTATATATATGATGTTTTCTGTCATGAATGTTAGGAAGAATAGATCTATTTCTAATACGAAGAAATCTATCAGAAATAGACTGACAGATGAGCATTTAGCAACACGTTACAGAATTAGTACATCGCAGTTTGAAAAAGAATTTAAGGAACTTTTAAAAATGCAGTTGCAGTTTTATTAGTCACATTAATATTTGTACTCTCTTTCTTAACTTTTAGAATAAATTACATTGGCCCACAAATTTTTTCTTTTGTTTTTTGGCCTACTAATATAGACTGATGTTAAAGAAGTTTGTCCATCACTAATATAGACTGATGTTGTCTAACAGTTATATTCTTCAGAGGGTTAACTAATTATATATTTTAGAATTAAACATAAGATTAATCTGTTTTTTTATATGTTAATATTACATAAAAATATTTAACTTTTAATACATCTCAGTACTAATGCTTAATTAATATTAACCACACAGTTTAAATAATTAAACTCAAAGTATATTACAAGATACACACCTGAATCAATGAAGATACACCCCGAGAAAAAGATTGGTCTTCCACTGCACTGTAAAAAGCTTTGATACTTCGATACCTCAAGTATTTGTGACCCATTTCTAACATTCCTGTTCTAGTTTTGTGACTCAAATGCTCCTAAAGAAGAAATAGTGTACAGTAAATCATTTATAAAGCAAAGCTTAGAATTCGGAATACATAAAAATATTAATAGAAAGAGTGAAACAATAACACACCTTTGTAATTACATTTCCACAAATTAACAGACTCAATTTCTTTGTAATAGTATAACTAAAATCCACAAGGGCTGGACGATGACTTGGATGCCCAGTCAATACAAGTAATTGAGGCCTAAAAATAAAAATTCTATATATAATTCTGTTTATCAGAAACTAAAATAAATAAAAAACAAATATGGAAATAAAAATATATGAAATTAGCCCAGTTAAGACAATCAAGCACATTAATAGTTAGTACTAAAATTTATATTTCATACTGATATGAAAAAAGTGGAGTGGAAGCCATTTTTGTGAATAGCTTTACAAAAATGGCTGGTGAGTTAATCTTAGACATAAGGAAGCTCAATCTGAAATTTTTGAGACACACACAGGTTTTTAAAGTTATACTTAACAAAATTTTAGAATGTTCAAATTAGTTTCCTCCACGATCAATGCACATCTGTATTCAAATTTTCTAAAAATTAAATGCCTCAAGACATTTATTTAATGGAATCAATGAAAAAAAAAGCATTTATAGCCTCAATTTCATCTTTGAAATGAAAATGACATTCACATAAGTTTTTTTAGATAAAAAAATAGCCAAGAGTCATACATAGGTAGATCACTTGAAACTCAAGTGTTAATCTTGCTGAATGAGAAGATGCTCTGTCATGGTGAAGCAGTCCTCTAACATTCACTTTTTGAAGATACTTAGTTGTGTACCAATTAGCTGTGACTGTATTCTACTTTTTCAGCTTGATGCCTTTGACCACCCTTGTATTTCTGAAGAAACAATATATACAGTACAAAGTGTGAGATCCTGACTCGTTGGGACTTCGGCGATTCCGGATTTGGGAGATTTCCGGATATTAGATCATCAGTTTAAAGTTTGTAAGATGGCATGTAGAAATTATAAAATTAAAAACATGGTTTATGAAATAATGAAGCATTTACAATCTAAAGGGTAACAAAATTTACAAAAAAACCTTAATAATTGTTTGTTTATTTTATTAAATATTTCTTTCAATGTAAGTTGTTTAAGTTGCTTTTTTTGTGCTAATATTTTCTCTTTAATTCTGTAGGCAGATATATTTTATTATTCAGTTACAAAGTTCCTAATTGCTGCGTCAAGAATTCCAACTAACTTGTCAATCAAAATTTTTTCATTTTCGATAACTTCTCTGTCACTTTCTTCACTATCGGTAACAGTATTTTCTGGATCTATTACCACACTACACATTTTGCCATCTTTTAAAAACTTCTGTTATATGATCTTCATTTATTACCACTTCTCCACATTTCTTTAAAAAATCCGTTAACTGGAAAATTTAATCTTCGGTTTGTGATATCCGAAAACCTTCACATTTGTGGCTATCATCTTTATCGTCCTCACCATGAAATATGCTAACTGGCAATAAATTATGCCAAGCAATTCTTAAAGTATCTGGAGACGCATCCTTCCATGATCTTGAATTCTCCACAAAGCAGATTTAACGCTAAAATATAAAAAAAAAATCTTTGAATAGTCTTGCTATTATTCAAGAAATTTAACCCTTTAAGGTCGTATGTCCACTCAGCCACCAAAGCCTTTTTATCGTTCCAGTCGTCTGTCTGCTCTCAGCCACCACAGCAAGGAACTATACGAATCGTATACTGTATGCATTCATGTATCAGTTTACACTTTTCCTATACGAACCTCAATGCCTAAAGAACCTATTCCCGAACCAATACAGTGCTCCATCGATTGGAGATAATGCAATCTAATCTAAACAAAAATTGTGACCCAGCACTCGCCATGCAAGACGCAGTGGTGAGTCAGTCGTCTCTTTAACGTAATTAATTGACAACGTTCAACAATACTTTGTAGAATTCCAAAGAATATTTTATAAACTGTATTTAACAGTAATTGGACATTCTCTCTGTTTAAAATACTCCAAAATAATTCCCCAAAATTCAGCTAGAAGAGAGAACAGGACACCTATGCCACATTTTACGTTCGTCCGAAAATTGGTGGCACAACTGGTGATTTTTGTGACAGAGCAGATTCAAAACCAGGAAGACCATTGACCTCTGATAAGGAAGAAAGACTTAATGGAAAACTGCACATATTGCGGCATTGTGAAAATGTAAAAAGTAAATATTGTAGTATATGTTCAAACAGAAAGATTAAGGGTGGAAGGCGCCAAACCAATTACTTTTGCGATATATGCACTTGAAAACCTGGCCTGCATGTTGAAGAGTGTTTTGAAAAATATCACACGAAGGAGAATTATAAAACATAATTTTTATACAAAAACATATCACTACATTAGTGTATTGAATAAAGATATATCTAAAGTTCACAAAAGAATAACTAAATCTTGTTTATCCACCGTAAACTTGCGTGTTATGTATACCTGCTCTATTGACAGAAATTAATTCCGATCAGTACGATACCCATCTCCAAATTTAATCTAACTGCAAAGGGTTAACATGGATTTTAAAAATTCTACTTCATTATTGCATTTTCAGCATACACACTCTTTCGATATCTATCGACTGAATAATGGACATACAATTTGGAGGAAAGAATAATATAGATACATTGCCTTTCACTAAAATTTTAAGTATGAGCCGAACAGTTGCCTACAATCAGGACAATTTTTGCGTCATAGGTAAACCAATCAAGGCGTACATGTATCACACAGGCTTCAGTGAAACAACCAAATTCTGCCGAAGCCTTGGGTATAAAATGATTTTCAAACCAACCATTCATTAACAATTGAGTCATCCATGTACTTTTACTTGCATGATATAAAACGGGAAACTCTTTATCCCTTTAAATGCTCGAGGTCGTTCTTTTTTCCTGATGAATGGACATAAAAACATACTTTCGCTTTGTAGACCCTGTTGCAGCTAAAAAATTAGAAACTCTTTTTGACTTTTAATCGAAAGTTCAAACTTTAATTTTCATAAAATCGCTGTAAAAAACAGCCTGCAAAAAATCCTGTATCAAATCAGAAAGTTAAGGAACAGTGCAATCTACTATATTGACTGGAATCAGTAAAGTATAATTTTAGCCTAGCTTAACAGCATCCACTATACATTATTGATTATGTATCATGAGACTAGTGGCAAAGGACAATCTGTTTACTAAATTTTCCATTACATATTGCCAGAAAAGACAAGTTTCATCAGTGTTGTAAATTTGTTCTGGAGATAACTTTTAGTGAGTTCAATGAATTCATCTGCAAATAGTTCAGCAGCCATTTGTATCATTTCATGATTAGGATGCAGCATTTTTAATAGCCAGTGGTTAATTTTTGTTAGCTTAATAGCAGAATATTAATTTATTAATATCAAATAAAAATTTGCATGCAGTAAGATACCATGAATCCATATTAAAAATTCCTCACTTGGCCTTGATACAGTTAATAATAATATGTGTATCAAGACACAGATTAAATTTTTTAAATTATAATTTGATTACCTAAAACAGAAATCAAAATGTTACTCAGAAAAACATACCAAATATTGTTTTCATCAAATTTCAAATAATTATATTCGGCTCTACTCTTATATGCGCCCTAATTTCACTAAATGTGGCAATATGTGTTCTGCCCTGGTTTTTGGTGTGATTGCGTGTTGTATGGCAACTCTGTTGACGTTGAAAAATCTTATTCTGGAGTGGTTTAATTGCTTGTTGGTTCGTGTTGTGCGTGTTTTGAAATGGCTTATGTTGCAATGCTAGACGTGGTGGCAAGATTTCAGTCGCGTAATTTAGATTGTGTGGAAAGTAAATTTAGTATTAAAAGGTACGATGTTGGAGTTATAACGAGTCTTTTGTCCCCGGTGTGTTTATGAGGATTGAAGTGCATTTTTAGAATTTCTGTGGGACTTTTAAAACAGAGTCCGAACTGCGGAGCTGCTATGAGAACTCGGACGAAGAAGGGCATTTCTCATGGTAAAGGTATGTGGCTGTCAGCAGAGTTTAAGATTTATGTTGTGGTTTTCGTGTAGTATGCTAACTTTGGAGCAAGTTTTTATCGTTACTTTAAAAATTTTGAATCTGAGAAAGACATGTGATATAACAAAATTGTGGCACTTTTGTTCAGAAACGTTGTGTGACTGGCAAAATTTTATTCAGGAATGTATTATGGTATGTGCATTTAATTTTACTGTTTTTATTTTGTAAAATGTTATGTTCATTGTTTTTAATATGGATTTCTGTTGTTATTGTTGTTTTTGAATTGTCTGTAATTTAGTTTAGTTTATTTGGTTGATTTGTCGGCAATGCCTAAATTGTGCAATTCGTAGATTTTACTTTGTACATGGTATTCTTTGAAATTTATTGTTGTTATGTTAATTTACTGAAACGAGGTGTGCGTAATTCGTAGATTCCTTCGCTGACTAGAATGTAATTTGTAGATGTTTTTTGAAATTAAAACGTATCGCTGTGTACATGGATTCTTGTCAAATATTTTTCGTTAGAAACTTTGTTTTTGCTATCTAAATTTTCTGTTTTTGTTCCAGGTTTTTAGCTTTACTTGTGTTTTCAAAACGTGGTTTTTGGAGACATTTTAGGCTTAAAATTCGAAATGTAGAAAAAAAAAAAAAAAAAATTAGGTAGTAATATGGCGGCATGGAGTTTCTCGCCAAAAATGTTTGGCAACTGGAGGCGCATATAAGAGTAGTTCCTTGTATCCATTACTGTATTTATAAGATTCTTTTATATATATATAAAACTAATTAAATATCATACAAATTGCTTGGAAAGTTCTATACTAACCTATAATTTTTAACATGATCTGCAACTTCGTTAAGTTTCATGACGGCATTAAGAGCCATTGAATATGTCTGAGCTTGAGTAGAAGATCCCCAGTTAACATCTGGAAAGATACTGCATCAAAAAGGATTCATTCTAAAGTTCAAATGAGATTAAATAATCCACATTAACCATTTAACACCAAAGAAAGTAAAACAGTGAAATTTTGATATATATCTTACCTGGTTTTCTGTGGTATATACAAAGATACAAAAAAGTGACAACTGCAAAGGTTATAAGAGATGTCACCCAGTTGATAATAAACATGACTAGTAGACAAAGGACAGCTCCCAAGAAGCCTAACCACATACTATAATATCTGAAGGCAGGGCGAAAACCTAAAAGACAAACATGATTAAATCATAGTCAGTAGATATAGATATTTCTTGATTACAAAATATGGCATCCAAAAATATGCATGAAAAATAGGTTTGATAGATATATGAAAAAAAAATGCAAGTTTTTAAAAAGCAGGTGTATATATATAAAAATAATATATTTTAAGAGCTGAAAACATTTTGAATGGCTATTTAATATTTTCAAGCAAGTGGGTTGGTGATAGATAGATGCCTCCTTGCACATCCTTAGAATAATGAAGAAACAGAATTTTGCAGCTATTGAGAGTAACTAAATAAATCTACTTCCTATTGGTAATGTTTAACTGATTATTTGTTTTTCTTCCCTCCTTTCAAAGATGAAATTTACAGTTACTTTTGATCCAGTTTTTGTTGCAGTGTGGGATTAATAAATATTGGAAGTTATACAGTCAAAAGTCGTTAATCCGGAATCGGCGATTCCGGATTATAGATTTTTCCGGATTATAGATCATCAGTTTAAATCTGGTAAGATGGCATGCAGAAATTACAAAATTAAAATTATGAAACCATAATTTATGAAATAAAAAACAATTATGATCTAAAAGGTACCAAAATTTACAAAAAGAAAAAGCTTAATATTTGTTTGTTTACTTTATTAAATATTTCTTTCAATGTAAGTTGTTTAAGTTGCTTCATTTCATGTGACAATACTTTCTCTTTAATTCTATTAAACAGACATAATTTCTTGTTTAGTTACAAAGTTCCGCTGTTCAAGTCCTATAATTGCTGTGCCGAGAATACCGACTAATTTGTCAATCGAAATGTTTTTGTTCTCGATAACCTCACTGTCGCTTTATTCACTATCGGAAGCGAATTATAATGACGAGGAACTTGATTTAAATCATATCAAAGACGGAGTACATTGAGATGAAATACTACATTTAGTAAGGAATTATAAGCCAAATAAAATAAAAACATCTGCTCTGAAGATAAGGATAGTGATGACAGATCAACTTCCAATTCATCGCATGCCACAGCGTTTCTCCCCCCCCCCTGCCGCAGAGCAGCTTGAAATTGATAAACAGATTTCGGATTTCAAAACATACTTTCGCTTTGTAGATCCTTTACATATTAGTAAATATATATCGGAAATTCTATTTGACATAATCGAAAGTTCAAGCTTACTTTTATAAAATTGCTCTAACAATCTGCAAAAAATAATAAGCCGGATCCAATTCGAAGATTAAGGAACAACGCAATCTGCAACATTAACTGAATTAGATAATTTTAGCTTAGCTTATACCGTCCGTTATACATTAAGCGCGCATGCGTAAACGTATTATGTGCTTGCGCACATGCAAATTCGCAGCCATAAAGGTTTTAAGCGCACGCGTAAACGCCTATGTGCATGCGTCAACACGGCGCATACACAGAAAGTTTGTAGCTTTGAGGTCCGAATTAACGACTTTTGACTGTAGTACTTTTTAATGGTACAGTAATATTATAAAGTTTTGTTTAGTATAATAGCATTATGAAAACTGTGACATTTTATTGCAGCATACTATATTATGTATATACAGGTTTGTAATGGAAATTGATTTTCTAACAACAATTTACAGTTCGGGAACTTTCTACACAAAAGTACTTGTACAGCTCTTCTCAGTATGTTACAACACAATAAAAAATTACCAATTCAAACTAGTAAGAATGTTGAACACAATGTGATGCTAAGAGCCTCAAAAGTGTAAGCTCGCAAGGTGATCTCTTAATATCTGAACTCAATACTCTAAAACTCTCCATACTCTTAGCTAAACTGAAAACTAATGCTCTTGCTGCTTTTATGCAGTTTTCCCCTGTCTGCCAACAAATTTCCAGTACCTCTGATTTCTAAAAATTGCTGGAAGGCAATTACAGTTACGTAGGGCTGGATATGATTAGAGTTATCTAAGGATCAGACCAGTTTACAGGTACACAGGGATCAGATCAAAATGTCACCAAATAGTTGCCAAGCTTAGGGGCTTTTGGTGAAACAAAAATTAGCTGCCAAAACTTTTGCCAGCTTGGCACTATCTTGCCAGATTGGCAACTCTCTCACCAGACTGGCGAGATAGCCATCTAACTCAGGGTTAAATAGAGTTTACACCTGTAAAACTATTTCCAAAGATGCTTCACATTCCGATGTCTTTCATGTTACATTATACAAGAGATAATACAATTTACATATAACTTCACTAAAATTATTCACATGTATAAAAAATTTGTAATAATACATTTCAGTGAACATAATTTCAATTCAGTCTTAAAGATTTGAATCTTGAAACAAGGAGCAAAAACAACAGAAAAGTGTCATGCACACATACACACACTATATAGTATATATATATGTGTGTGTAAGATAGATTGAAAAATATTTAATACAGCATTATTCATCTATTTAATGCACATTATAATGTATTAAAATAAAAAATGAAGAAAAATTTTAAATTAAGCTAAGTTTAGAATACTAAGTTTAAATAAGTTTAGAATTTAATCTGTTCATTTTAACATATTCACAATATATTTATTTGTAAGATAAACTCAAAACAAAATCTAAGTAAGCATGAAAGAAAGCTATTTGAGAATTTCGTAACTGAATGCATAAGATAAAAAATTCAGTAGTAAACTGTTTAACTTATAGCTGGCAACTGATGAGTTAAAAAAAAAATTACAAAAAAACTAAATAGATATAACAATTAATCAGTCCACAACAGATCTAAGTGATTATTTCAGGTATATAGTTTTAATAGTTTAGTAATATAGTTTTAAACACTGGGAACCAGTAATGTTTTATTATAATTTAGTAAAATTTATCAGTTTCCTAATATGCCTTTTTTAGCCTGAGAATCTCCTCCTCCCAAGAAAGTTTAATGAAGTCATGAAATAAAGATTTAACAATTTAATTTTAAATAGAATTAAATAGTTTCCACAATAATCACAATATTGAAATGAGGATAAAATTTTATTTATAAAATACTTGCTCTGTACTGTGTTTCTAAAAAATATGAAATTTTTTGTCAGGCAGAGATTTTACCCAAGACTAATTAGAAATTTCTCAAGTTATTAAGCAACACACACACAAAAAAGAAAACAAAGCATAGGGTAAAAAGATGCAACCAGATAAACATAGACATAGGATAAAAGAATGCAATCAGAACATTACGAGACCATAAATTAGATAAAGTGCAGAATATGATCTGTTTTTGATACTAGGATAAATGAATTAAAATTTTAAAAAATCCTCATCTTCTAATAGCATTATACTATTATTTATTACAATTCATACCTTGTATATTAAAAGCAGTATTCCATTTCAGAGAGGAATGATGAAATATGAAGTTATTCAATTTTTCAAGAATTTATTTATGGCATTTAAAAAAATCTATTAAAACGTATAAGTAAGAATAATAGTTTTTTTCTGCTTCTAAAGGCCCGTCTACACGAAGCGATTTTCTCGGCCGACTTTCTTGTCGAGCAACAACTTTAAGGATCTGCGCATGCGCCAAAAATCGGTCATGTTCTCTGCCGCGATTTCAGAACTGGTGTTCACTGCTCACTAGCGTCCGATAAAATCGGAGTCTCTAGCCAATAAGATTGCTTTGAGTGATGACGTGCTTTTCTCCTCATTTGGAATAATAAACATGGCTGCCTTTCGTTGGAGGGAAACTCAAATTTTTCAACTAATAGATTTCTATAGAGAAAATGTGTTGTGGGATACGAGTAATGTAAATTTTAAAAATATAAATTTAAGGGATTCTCTTATTTTGGTAAGCTTTGTCTTCCCATTACTTTATATATTCAAATATTTTCTGTTCGGGATGAAATTTATTTTTACTTCCCCAAGAAAAGTTCCAAAAATTATTAATGATGCCAGGTCATGGGTACTAGATGAAAATATTTAGAAACTACTTGAAACTATGGTCGCACTTATTGAAAAAATTCTGAAAGCAAAATCTCTAGTCGAGAAATTACGGGCCGATTTAAAACAGCGCAGAGACTTATAGACTTCGCCGAAAATGGGAGTTAATCAGCTGACGGAGTACATAGCTTTTCCGAGACTTCCTACACGAGTGATCATAGCCCAGTGGTACGGAGCAGAGCAGGTTTTCTTCGTGCATGGAGATCATGGGTTCGATCCCTTACCTTAATTTTGGGATATCTGCGCCTCCAAGGACTTTTTAACTTTGTTTCTCCATCACTAAATTCGAACTACATAACTTGAAAGTCACTTTTTATTCTTTCGCTTACGAGTGTGGTGTTTATTGAATTTTAACGCCTTTCTTTTTATTTATCGAATAGCCGTTGGCACGTGTTTTAGATCTACTTATGAAAACTTTAGTAGTTTACAAGCTCAAAAGTCACAAACTCAGTTTTGTGCTAATTGAGTTTTGCGAAAACAAATTACAGCCCAATTTAATACAATATTGCTAAATTTTATTAGCTGATTAACTGATAGTCATATGATCATAGTTTTTAGACTGTATTAATTATTTACTTATGCTGATATTAGTTTTTTAATGTTAATAAATGTTTAATGTTCAATAAATATACTACTTTAACTTAAGACTTTGCACCTTTATGATATTTCTCATTTGAAATTTTTGCACTGAAATTACACTGTTGCTTTTTAATGTAGTAATCTTTATTCTTTATTACTACTTTTTACTCATACTGGTTTGATATTCATGACATTATTGTCTATTTATTCATTAATAAAAGTTTTGATTTAAAGCACAGTAGTTACTTATTTTTTCCTGAAACATGGTTATATTATTATTTCAAGATTTAAGTTAAGTGCACAAATAGGAGTGCCAGAAAATGAAATTAAAAAATAAATAAATAAAATTAAAAAAGGAGTAATTTGTGTACTCAGTACACAAAGGAAAAGCATATATATCTATTTTAAAATTTTGCTGTAAACTAAATTTAGCAAAAAATCAAAATCACGCGGCATCATCCGTAAATACTTTCCGAATTTACCGTGTCTTCAATGCTCAACTGCCGGAGCAGGGTATTACAAAGGCACCATGAATTTTTCCTCGTTTGACCCGATTTCTGATCTAAACGCATTCCCCCCCCCCATTCTGTAGTTCAAAATTGTAGCTGTATCTATAGCAGCAATTTAAATAAAAATAGTCATCCATTATTTTGATTATTTGATGACACCGTAAGCTTTGTTTACAAATCGTAGACAGTGTGATGCTGTAGAGGGCGGAACTTCCTTTCACAGTGATTGGCTGAGTGAATTCCTGTACTAACGAGAAAATCGTTCCGTGTGGACAGGCGAGCTATCTCAGATATCGTTGGCCAGATAAGTTGGCCGAGAAAATCGCTACATGTAGACGGGCTTTAAAGCTTAGTTACGTTGGAAAACTATAAGAATTGTTTAATTATTTTTTTTAAATTAGATTCTAACTACAATCACCATTATCTAATAATTATCAACAGCTTTTCAAAAGCTTTCTAAAAACGTCAGGTTTGGGGCAATATATAAAAAAAACACATGTTCAGATTTCTTTCACCAATTTCTCTTAAATTGAATTTATAAAATGCCTGCTATAATCTTATGAAATGGATACATATGTTTGTGAATTGTTATAATTTATAAATTATAAGATCGTTAAATTTATGAATTCTCCTGATTTATAAATTATAATAATTCCTAAATTAAAAAGCAATTTTTTGTTAAAATATGCTTGAATGTTTAAGATAAAAACAAATATATTTCACTTACCTGGAGCTTTTACGAATGTGGCATGAAAGCATGACAAGTTGATAAGACAATATGCCGCAAGGAAAAAATTTGAGATCAGTGGAGCAATGTGATTAAGATCGCCTGCAAATGTAATTTTAAATTATTTAAACTTCCGGGCATGAAAAATATTGATAAACTTAATTGTCTATTTGATTCTTTACAACAAAATTTTTATGCATGAATAAAATTATCTTGCTTTAATCTTAAAACCAGTATTCATGTAAAACTATCAGAAAGAAAACCTATCAGAGAACTGAAAAGAAACTAAACATTTCAGGCTAAAAATAACTGTCTATTTAATATATTTTGCTTTAAATGCTCATATTCATATTAAAAGCATCTTGATTTAATTACTATGATATACATTCTATGATAGAAATCTGTTTAATAACTTCCAAACTATTTGCATCTTTAATATCACATGAAAAGCATATTAAATACATTGGGTTCTTTTAAATGTTTTTGGAAATTGCTGCCAGTGACTCTAAAAATGTGAGTTTTGTTATCCAATAAGCAACCAGTGTATTAGTTTGCAAATTAGTTGTGTTACACCAATACTAATTTAATTTTTAGTATTTATTATTGCTTAACATTCAGTACAGGTTTGTTTTAATGTGTTGAAACAAATACATTTTTAAATGCTAATTTTAAACAGTTAGTAAACAGGTAAAGGCTATATTATATTAAAATCAAATTATCATTCAAATAATATCATGTTTTTATATTATGAAACAGATTTGATACAGAATAATTGCACATAGTAATATAGTTTGGCAATTTAAAATAATATGCTAATATTACTTTTTTTGTATGTACCTAAAGGATTTAGCCACACATATTTCAGCAAAAGATAGTTTTGACTTTATAATGCAATTCATAACTTAAAATCTTTAGTATTAAACATCAGATATAAATATGATATAAAAATGATACCTATAGCACAACATCCAAGAGCCACAACAAATGCCAGCAAATAACCTCTTCTAGGTTCGTTATTTTTTCCATAGCCTTTTGCAAAGAAATAAATACCTGGAAATAGTTTATCCTTACACAATGCCTGTAAGAAAAAATATTGAATATGATTTCTAATGAACAAATTATTATCTTAAATTATGTTTAATGTAATTAATGATAATTCCAGAAAGCATAAATATTTTATTTTAAAAATGCATGATTTAATCCTGAAATGCCACAAAGTCATCTCTCCTTATAAGCAGATGGCTCTCCAATTGCTTTGCCTTAATCAATTAACCTAACCCAGTGGTCGGCAAACTTATTAGCCAAAGAGCCAAATATGAACATTACAACAATTGTTTCTGCTTGTTTAGTAAACTTTTATTACACTAAATAAAACTAAATTTAATACTTAATAAATATTTATTAATGCAAACAATGTACTTGCATCTCCTTGGAAAGTTTGAATAAATCAAGTTTGTATTTTTGTTGTTTTTAATTTTAGGCATGATTCCAAGTTCTCATCAATACAACACTTCTCAGTTTACTCTTGAAAATGTTCATGCTTGAAAAAGATTGTTCGCATGTATATGATGATGATGATGTCGTGTTTATGACAAAGTGCAATTATATAGCTTCGAAGCTGTCAAAGACAGCTTTTGCAACCTCGGCAGCTCTATCAGTATAAAGTAATGCCGATCTTAAACAGTCTGGCCTGAATTGCTGGGCAGCTGAAGATGTGATGGCAAGACAGTGAGATGTCATCTGGGCAATGAGGACAAATGTTGGTGTAACTACACTGTCCGTCTGCAGAAATCCTCATCCCTTTTAAGTGATTTGTCCTAAGTCTAGTTATGATAGTCGATACGGCTCTATCACAGTTCAATTCCGGGATGGAGTTTCCTTTAACTTGACCGATTAGTCTCTGGCTGGCAACTGCATTGGCATCAATGAGGGTTAGGCAGTTAGATGGTTGAGGAGAATCATGGGATGCCTTTGCAAGCTCATCGGCCTTCTCATTACCAAAAATATTTACATGAGCCGGTATCCATTGTAAGATGCAGGATCTTTGGGCAGCAATGATTTTGTTCGTGAACTCAATGATCTGATGACTGCGTTGATATTTGCCCTTCTGGATCGCTTGCAATGCTGATCTGCAGTCAGAGAAGATGATGATGCCCTTGGAACTCTGGTCTTCTTCAGAGAGATAAATCTCCAGAGCACTTTTGATGGCGACGAGCTTGCATGTATAGTTGGAGGCGATTTTCCCAACAGGAATACTGTGGCATTTCTGCACTCCGTCTGGTCCGATCAAAAAGACTCCCGCTCCTCCTCTGTTCAGATTGGTGTCAGAAGAGCCGTCTGTGTAGGCGATCGTCAGATCTTGAGTTAAGGTCATGAGTTCCTCAATAGTATGGTCACCCTTTTCTTTGATTATTGCGGTGGGATCTTTCTTGGTACAACTCTGTAAGAGATTTAAAAAAATTTTCATTTGGGGGAGAGGGTGCAGAATATTGTAAGGCTCTTTGGATCTTTTGAAAGTCTCATATTTGAGGTTGATATCATTTCTAATATCTTGGCCATGTTCTTCGCATGTATATGTAGAACCGGAAAGGGAAAGAACAGCAAACGCAAGCTTTTTCAGCTGATCGTAAGAGTCAGGAATACTATGCCAAGCGTTGAAAATGATCATGTCTTCCTTCTCCAGGTCATTCAAAGCAGACCACTTGTGTAGTGAACTGTGATCACATTTTTTCTTCTCCAATATTTCCAATTCAACACAAAGACGCTCGAATTTAAAGCGCCATATCTCCTTGTTTTTTAAATCCAGCAATTGTACTTCAAAGCTACCAATGTCAATTTCAAAAGGAGAAAATTTCAACTCTGTTATCGTAGCATTAAGAGGATTTTTGAAAAATGCTTAAGTTGCTCTGCTGTTTTTAAATTCCTGAAACCTGCTGAAAAATGCTTCCCTCATATTTAAAATTATTGTTTTAAAATGGTGTTTATCAATAGAGGAATTATTTTCTTCGCGATGATTCAGTAAGCTCGAAAAGTAAAACAATGTTTCCCTTTCAAAATCCTATGCAAAAGTGGATAATTTGTTTTCAAATGTTATTACTTCTTCTAACATCGAAAAAATTAAGTTTCCTTTCCCTTGTAGTTTATGATTAAGCTGATTTAGATGAGATGTAATGTCTACCATGAAATAAAAGTTTTGAATCCACTGATCGTCTCTTAGTTCTGGATAGTGAACGCCCTTCTCAAGGAGAAATGCTTTAATTTCCGGAAAAAGGGACACAAAACGTTTTTAAAACATTCCCTCTTGATAACCAACGTACCTTGTTATGAAGCAGAATATCAGCGTACTCACTCTCCATTTCAAATAAAAATTCTTTGAATTGGCGATGATTAAGAGCTTCAGCTAAAATGGAGTTCATAATGGCAATCACTAATTCATAACTTTAGAAATTTCTTCCGGAAATGTTTGTGCACAAAGCGCTTCTTGGTGAATGATACAATGGTAAACAAGATCACGTGATTAATTTTTTCTTTCAAAATAGCAACAACCCCTTTTCTTACGCCGGTCATACTTTTGACCACATCCGTTGAAATCGACACAATTTTATTGAGGGGAATATGATGTTTATCCATACACTCAATTACAGCATTGGTGATATCTTCTCCACGCGTCTGACCTTTGCGTGGCAATAAGCCTAAAAGTTCTTTTTTATGGCCTGAATGAGACATAAATGTTACAAAAAGTGAAACTTGAGCTGTATCATTTATGTCACAAGACTCGTCAACTGCTATTGATAAAGCCAAAACCAATTTTAGATCTTCGATATGCTGGATGGTTATATTCGAACACATTTTAAATGTTCTATCTTTAATGGTTTTGCTAGACAATGGTAACTCTTTTATTCTTTTCAGAATATCTTCTTTGTTCTTAAAATCCCGAAATAGCTCTTCAGATGCATTTATAAAAAAATTTTTTATGTATTCGCCATCTGTGTACTGTTTTCCTCTTTTAGTAATCTCTTGGCTACAAACAAAACTTGCCATATTAACATTGCTGGAAGATTGCATCCAGTTATTAAACTCGAGTTGACGACTCTAGACTCTTCCGAAATTCCTCAACTGCTTTCTTCCTTGCATCACCGGTAGGATATTTAGTGCTAAATGATGCGTGCTATTTTGTAAAGCATCTCTCTAAATTTGACTTTTTGTTATGCGCGAATTTCTCCTTACAAATAAGACATATCGGAAGTCCATTCAAGTTTTGAATAAACGCAAAATTCTCAGTCCACTCAACTTGTTTTCATCTTCCGTTTTTCTTTGCCTTTTTTTTTTGGCAGCCATGTTAATTGGGGTGCCTATAAAAATATTCCAAATGCATTTTTTTCTAAAGCCAACAGTACAAAATTATTATCATTATTAAATTGATGAAAATAAAAATTAAAAAAAAAATCTTTTTAAAAAATACAATTTTATTAATATATGTAACTGCACTAAAAAAAAAAATAATTTGTTCCATCATCAGAACAACAAAACTTTTAATATGACCAAAAATGGAAGAAAACTTCCAACATTTGGACAAATAGAATTTATCGAAAAATTGATTACAAATTTTGTACCAGAACCACAAACATACATAGCAGGTGTAATAAAATTGTATAAAAATACCTGTAAGATGTGCAGCTAGATTTAAAAATACAAAAACTTTTTAATAAGACAGGATAACGGCAGACACGGTAGATAAGACAAAACTGTTCACACTGCAACTGCTGCTCTGTGATGCCAATTTGTACTGTCACTACTTTATAAAAAGCATGTACGTGTATGCCGGTAGCTTGTACATGGTTTATGTTTACGTTTACGAAAACTAATAAAATTAAACTCGATGTTCGTTATGTATTTTTACAACAATATAAAATTTTAATTACTTATCTTTTTACTCAAACAAAAAATTATACATGTTCTCGATTTATAGAAGATTTTAATTTATCAAAATAAGATGTAATTTTTTTCTTACCAAGTTTTTTTTTTAAATGAAAATATTATTGCGCCTTCCGTGGATATTTGTACCACAGCCGCACTTAAGGAGCCAAAGAGCCACATGCGGCTCTGGAGCCGCACTTTGCCGACCACTGACTTAACCTAACTTAACCTGAAATGTCAATAGAGTCAATCTTGTTTTATGCAGTGTATGATAGTTCATATTTATATTAGTTTAGAAATTAGCCAGTTCAGTGCATTAATAATTATTTTAATGCTTACTATCTGCAGGAATTTTTCAGAAAAATGGTCAACAATTTTGAAGGCAATTTTTTAATATTGTAAATGTTTGAAGTTTATTGATGTAACCTGGAAGAGAATTTCAACAAACTCTTCAAACACAGTTTAAAAGGAATTTATGCCTGCATTAGTATATACAGTGGAACCTTGATTTACAAACAGACTTTTCACATGTAAAATGTGCTAGATGTTCCAAGATACAAATAAGTAAGCCAGCAACAAATGATACTCCAAAATGCAGAGGTTCTTTTTTGGGGGTGGGGAAAGATAGAAGAAAAGATGTTCCTAGTTATTTGATATGCTTAGTTTGTGCAAAATGAGGTAAAGTGTAAAGGTTGATTGACCCTGATGACTCTATGCAATAGTAAACTGTAGCATAAATATGGGAGTGTGCCCCCCCCCATCTGCTAATAGACAATGCTGAAGTCGCTGCTTTGGACTCCATGATCACGCCTATCGAGGACACAGTATTGCGTCCTGTGCAGCAAAAGAGAAGGAGGATTGTGAAGAAGCGAGATGCTGAGGTTATGACAACCTTTTATTCTTTTGCTGAGATTCAAAGATATAAAGAGTGTACACCATGAAGTAGTGGCATGTTTTAAATTCTATCTAAAGAAAAGTACATGTTGCTTTGTTAAACATGTCCACTTCTTCCAAGTGCATCTGCAAATTTCTGTATGAGCCTCTATACATCTTAATCGTCCTACTACTATTTGTAAAATATAAATAAGTATGGGTCCACAAAGCTGGAATTCTTATATTCAAGACATTTAGAAGACACCCACATAAATAACTGCAGTAACAATGCCATGTCCCTTGTCTATCCATGATTTGTTTCTGTCTCTGATTAAGGCTCAGTGATTCTCAAGTAGAGGCGAGCAGTGTTATAGAAAGAGAAAAGAAAAAACAGCAGCTATCTAATAATTTTACAGAATAGGAGTTCCCTTTCAAACACTAACATTTTGCACTTTGCTTTTCTTCACCATTTTCTATTTACGGCATCAACCTTCCATCACAGAGATAAAAAAAAAATGTAGTTCAAATTTCCCTGTTTTTTATACGTTGTTAAATATTGCATATGCATTAGATTTAATGAATTCTATTGGTTTTGCATTATGAACTTACATACAAAGTTTTTTTTAATTATCTTCTTTCAATACATCTTTAATCTTTCTGCTCGTCTCTTGTGTTGTCTTCTTAGTGCATCTTTATTTTTTAGCATTTTATACTTACGAGGGCAATCCCAAAAAAAAAGGTCTCCTATTTTTTGGGGACGTAGAGAAAGTTTTAATACGGTTGTTGGCAACACTGTTGTGAGTGGTGCCTTCTCCGCTACCACATAAACACGCAGGCACTTCGCTCGGATGCTCAGTCTTGGCTTGGCAGCCATTCGAAATGGAGCTCCCGATAAACGTTACCGCCAAGTGCGAAGTGCGCCCAGTTATTCAATTTTTGAACGCAAAAGGCGTTAAACCGGTTGAAATTCACCGCCTATTGACAGAAGTGTATGGACAGTCATGCATGGATGTCAAAAACGTTCGCAAGTGGTGTAGAGAGTTTACAGCCGGTCATACTGAAATTCATGACGAAGGAAGGAGCAGGAGGCCGTCAATTGCCGACAAGACAATCGCGAAAGTTGAGGGAGTTCTTCAACTTTCGTGATTGTTGAGTTCGTATTCATTGCGTTTCACGATTGTTGAGTTCGTAAAATGCGTAAAGATCGGAGGATCATCTGGATGCTCCTGAAGCTCCTCAACGCTTCCTGAAGGGCATGGCGGCAAGCTGGTATGACATGGGCATTGTAAAACTGCCACAGCGCCTACAAAAATGCATCGACCGAAATGGCGATTATGTTGAAAAATAAAGCATTCTGCAATCTTTAAAATGATGTAGCAATTATAGAAAATAAACGGTTCTTTGTATATCTAAAAATCTAGGAGACCTTTTTTTTGGGATTGCCCTCGTATTTTGGTACGTACAAAATTAGTGCATCATTCCCACAACCGCGTGGCGTTGACTTTAACATAGAACTGAAATTTGTTACAAACTAACTAGTATGCCTAACTCTGAGCCTCTACTGTGGCTCAAATACAATTCCAATTTTCACAAATTTTGTCTTATCCAGAATGACCAAGTGGGTATATTTGTGAACTTCAAATTTAGCAAGACAACAATTTTATATGGGTTTCACTCATTGCAATGTCATTAAATGCCTTCTTAAACAACTTAACAGCATCAAGAGAGGAATTACAAGTTAAAAAGAAGTAGACCTGCTAGTTTAGTTGTGATAGTGAATACCATGTAAGATAGTAATACCAGGTAAGTGTATATTTAATGTGCCTTTGTTTGAACAGAATTAGCTATGGATTAGAATGATTGTTTTTTCACCTTGTAAAAACCACCTTAATTCTCTGCCAAGTTATACTAAAGCTGCATGACTGGTTTTTGAGTTAATCAAAGTGGCTCAATACTTTATGCACAGATCTCATGAAATTATGCAAAACTATGTTTTACCAAGTACATATTATATATTACAAAAACTTCAAAATATTTGCATTTAATATTTTCTATTGCACTTTATACTGTTTGCCTTGAAATTATATTACAAAACAGCCATGTTCTTTTTAATAAGTGAATATTTTTAAGGTTTGCTTTAAGAAAATTGAAATAACTCTTACCTATACACATACATAAAAAATACACAGAACATACTATTATTTATTATTTTTAGATGACAGGGAAAATATTATTTATATTGTCCTTAACTGCCCAAGTAATAGAAAACAACATATGAGAATATTACCTGGAATATTTTAGGAGCACTTACAAGACTTGCAAGTGCAGATGAAAGTGTAGCTGCAAATATTCCAGCATATATAATTGGTGAAAAAGCTGATACCATTTCCATCACCTACATTAATGAAAATAGTAATAATTATTATATGAAGATATTACCAAAGTTAAGGTATTGGTTTATTGAATTCATTAACAAATGCATAATATTACATGCATTAATAAATACATAATATTTAATTTTGCATTTGAATATAAACACATTTCCCTAAATTTTTGGCTGATTATTAAATCAACATTTTTTTTTTCTTATAAGACAAAATTCAAATAGTTTATGCATATAACAGTTTAACTTATTGGCCTGATAGTACAGAAAAAAAGAAACTCAATTTAAATATCACTCAGCTTTACTCTAATCTCTATTGCACAACAAAAAATTGACAAAATATTTCAGTTTAAGATTAGCATGTTTCATAAAATGGTTACAATATTGATTCTTCAAAAAGACTGTAAAAGATTACTATAAAACAATGTAATAATTTGATTACTCATGCTCAATACATCCAAATTTCCATCATCCCTTTTATAACTTTTTAACTTTCATAAAAGCTTTTAATTATTCAAATGATAAACATTTTATCTACTTTTCAATTACTCCAAATAATATGATTGCTGATATCAGATATTAAAGTAAATTAAAATACAGCATTTCATGTACTTTATGATCAATGTTTTATATTTTTAAACTTTTATTTATATTATCAGAAAGTTGCCTTATTGTCTTCTGTTTATTTTTTCATCAATTCTCCCCTCCATCAATCAAAGAATGTAGCAAACAGAATATACTTTTGTTAATGAAACTGATTAAGTAGTTTAAATCAATGGCTTCCAAACTTTATTTTATCATGGCTCCCTTAAAAATATTTGATCATATGGTGCCTCCCTTACACAAATATTTGATCATGTGGTGCCTCCCTTACACTTTATACTACAAACACAAAAATTTTTAGTACTAAAAAATTTATTAAGATACACTCTTATTAAGATACACTCACACACACAAGAAAAAATGAATAACAATATTTTATTATTATTGCTTAATGAAATGGATGTGCTGGCCTATCAGCGCAAAGTTTATCAAATTTCGGTGTCATTGATGAGATGGCTACACGAAGATCCTTTGCTACAACCAAACGAGCACGATATTTCGATTTTATTGCAGCTAATGCAGAAAATCCTGTTTCGCATAAAAAAGATGTTGCGAATGGCAGCAATACTTTTAAAGCTTTATTTGACAAAATATTATCTAGCCAAAATTGAATCAGATACACATTCTGAAATTTTTGTTTTAAAGAAGTATCACAAGATAGTTCAATCAAGTTTTCTTTCTCAATACTTGTTAATTCAAATTTGTCATCTTCATCGATAAATGGATTCTGTGTCCATGCATATTTTGTAAAGATCATCAAGATCATCAAAATAATTTGAAAAATGAATTAACAAACCATCCAAGTGTTCAACAAATAGATTTTTGTTTGCTTCTATATTAACTTGGGTGAATAAATTTAAAAGTGGAAACATGTCGAACCTATTTTTTTCCAAATTTGTCTTCCATATCTCCATTTTTTTAATGAATGCTTTCACTTGATCTTTTTGAATCAATAAATGCATTTGTGGCCCTTGCATCGATTTATTCAAAACACTCAATTTTCCAAAAATTTCCGCCAAATAGGTAAGTTTAATAAATAAAATTATCATCCCTAAACATATTTGCATCCTCATTATGATTTTCTTCGAGAAAAATTGCAATTTCTTTTTTGAGTTCAAGTACCCTCTGAATCACTTTTGCACGAGATAGCCAGCGCACTTCACAATAATACAAAAGTGAGGTGTAAGCAGTTTCCATATCTTCACACAGCTTTGCAAATAACCTAACTTTTAATGAACTATTTTTTATGTAGTTTACAACTTTCATTATTTTTGTAAAAACGTAGTTACATTCCTCAGTCATATTTTTTGATATGAGAGCATGCAGTGTGTCCAGAGAACATTAGGTGTTTTCCTTTTAATTAGTGCTTGAAGGCCAGTTTTGTGTCCTGACATAGACTGTACAAAGTCTGAACAAAGCCCAATGCAATTATTTCACAATATGCCGTTCTCATCAAAAAAATTGTCGATTATATTAAAAATTTCACTGGATGTGGCTTTGCCAGGAATGGGTTTGCAAAATAATATATCTTCAATTATATTATTCTCTTCAACAAATCAAACATACGCAATTAAATGTGTTTCTTTAGCTACATCTGTTGCTTTATCTACTTGTAAGGTGAATTTTGAAATGTGCACCTGAGAAACTAATTGATCGCAAAGATCGTCAGATATATCATCAATTCTTCTGCCAGCAGTGTTATCAGCAAGCGATATTTGTCGCAACTGTTTTGCATATGTTTCGCCAAACATTGTTTTGACCATATCAATAGCTGCTGGCAAAACTAATGTTTCTCCTATTGTGTGTGGTTTTTTTAAACTTCGCGATTCTGTAAGATACTAAGTACAATGTTAGTAATGCATTTCATGGAATATGAACTTTTTTTTTTGAATGTCTGCTTTTGTTTAGTGAACTCATCCAATTTTCTTTGAAAAAATTCTTGCGACTTGCCAACGTATTGAGAACGCATAGTTTCAATGAGGCATTTAAATTTTCCGGGTCTCATAATATCAGCAGCCAAAACTTTCAAACAAAACAAACACATTGGTTTTCCCACATTATCAGTAATAACACTTGTAAATCCGAACGATAAATAAGACAAATCGTATTTTCTTGTCTTGGGAGTTCTTTCTTCCTGATTCCTACTACTTGTGCCAACATCAGATTTTTCATTATTAGAGGATTTTCTCTTATAACCAGCCAAAAACTTATCCATTTCTCTAAAAATATTAGGCTAATTAATTTATTGTTCTTAAAAAAATTAAATTTAATTAAATTACTTGCTACTATGATCAGTGAGTATAAAATAAGAAACACAATCTAACACCGCTGAGCTAAACTGAAGTCGATACTGTCTCGATTTTTAGAGAGTTACTGGTCAGCCAAGCATTATAGTAGTTAATATGTACCTATATGTTACATATTGTATTAGCTGCATGTGCACCAATCCTGGCTAATATTCGCACCTTCCCTTAGACCAGTCCACACTTTTCTAGAGAGGCGCGCCTCCCAATTTGGAAAACGCTGGTTTAAATCATATGATATCTTGGGCACGTTTCTATGTACTTTTCATGCAGGGGGGGGAATGTCAGAGCTTTTAGTTGATACAAAAGAATTAACCTATTAAATCCAATTTTCATTCATTCATGCCTTATAAAATCTGAAGTTTCACTTTGTTCCTTCTTTCCACTTTCAGTCAACAGCCAGTAACTGCTACCATAAAAAAATGTAGATTATTGAGATTTATGAGTAACTTGATTATTTTTACTTAAAAAAGTTAACTTCTATAGTTATTTTTATTTTTTAACAGAGTCTTTGTTTTCTGTATCTTGGCAAATTTTGCATTTCAGTTTACATGAACAAAAATACAATTCTAATTATTACAAATCAATACAGGATATTATTCCAAACTCCTTACACACAACAAATGTTTCAGATTTTTCATTCAATAAATATTGCATTTATTCATGTACATTTATCTTTTCCGTTCAGTTTTTTAGTGGAAACGTGGAAACTATGCAAAACCAAAATAAATGGAAGAAAATATATTATACAAATTTAACAGTCTTATATAACCCTCAGTTTAATTTAAATTCTGATTTTTAACTACCATATAAATATATTAACAATTCTAATGTATAAACATCAAGTAAATAGATTTACATGATTATTTAATGAATGATGATTATGTTTTCTTATTTATTAATATATTAGCCCCAACTTAAGTTAACCTTCAGAGTCATTATCGCATCAAAACACTTCAGGATTTTTTTTTTTTCAGCTTTATATTAGAAAACTACATTCTATGTGTTCAGAATATATGATTAGGCAGTGTTTACTTAGGAATTCATCCCTTTACAAGCAATAAATGCATGGTTAATTTTAGACCTAGCAAAATAACTATTACTTTCCCATTTTGAATAGCAAACAAGCACAAGTGAAAAGAAAATGAATCTTGGTATTATTAATCCCTTTCCAATAATTATTTAAAAAAAAGCTGAAGTTGACACCTTTACAAATGCTTTAAACAAAAAAACAAACTGTCTGGAATCATAGCATGAGGATTAAAATCAAGAAATGTTAAATCTTTTTATTTATCAACTATCATGCAAGGAACGTGAATATTAAAACTAAACAAATTGTTTTATTTTTAAGAAGATATTCATGTGAAACAATCAAGCATATTTTAAGCATGGAAAACTAAAGTTATAAAATAGAAAAAAGTAAATGCTTTGTACCTGATAATCATTGAGAAGACCAAATTCACAATCACTTTTATCTCCAAGTGTGCAGTTCGACAGAAGAAATAATGTTCCATTTTTAACTAATTCAATATTTCCATTTGCATGAAGCAGGACAGTGCTTCCTGCCACTACCACAAATAGAATGTAAGACAATGTGGTAATCAAAATGGCTAGAAGGGTTCCCTTAGGTATAGCAGTTTGTGGATCCTAAAAATTATAGATATGGGATGTTAGATAGTAAACTTGTTACAAACAAGTACAGAGAGACAAATAATTACAGTTAACTGGGAGCAGATTAACCAGTGCCTGTCTGAAAAGAAAAGTGAAGTTTGTTTATTGTGGAGTGACAGAATAATAAATGTGAAACAAAAGTGCTCATGAAAAATACAAAAAGAAAATGCATTAGGCAATAGCAGTGATAGCAGATGATGTCAGAGTATTTGGGAATCATTTTTACCTGCAACAATATGTAATTTAATTGTATGTAATTTGGAATGCACATTATTTCAAATTTTAAGCCCCATTTTCATGCTTTTAAAATGTAAAATTAAGGTGCAGATCAAATTCAAAGTGAATTTTTGACCATCTTATTTCTGGCAATAGCACAATCAGCAGTATGATCAGTCAAGAGTTCATTGGTCATACTTTCAGCAGTATGATCAGTCAGAGTTCATTGGTCATACTTTCAGCAGTATGATCAGTCAGAGTTCATTGGTCATACTTTTATACCAGGAGGCATGACTAGTTAATTCCAGTCATACGACATGTCTGATAACAAGCTCTTTACAAACAGAGTAGAAACCCACTAAGATATATGATTGAATTCAGAAGATCATTGTTTTACTCTTAATTGGTAATATAAAATGGACATCATCTTTTAGTTGGTTAGAACATTACCTCAGTTGGTTTTGTAGTCTTGGACAGAAATAATAGAAAATATTATCAATAAAATCTTTTTAAAATGTTGAATCACTAATCAAAATGGTACTAAAGATGAAGTGCTTTAGTATGATAGGGGAGATGAGAACTAAAATTCTGAAAACAAAGATGTTGAAAGTGTTAGTACATCTGAAGAAAGATTCTCAATAAATTACTTACATTACTATATAATCACCATACTTATATCTGTACTTATTTGAATAAATATGAATATTTCTTAGTTTTCAACATTTATTTAAATATCATTTTCATTTTTTATATTTTTTCAGTCTTCTAATTTTAAAATTCTGCTGTGAATCCAAAGCAATATGGTATAAACATTGTTAAATCAAGAGAGCTCACTGATCTTTAAAAGAAAACTTCATCAAAAAGTTCTTGGGTGGCGGTGGTGGGGGAACAAGAATTTGAATTCAAATGACATTGTTCATATTTTCTTGTAAATAGTGTTTTTTAATGTCATTTATAGCTTAGTTTTTTTTCATTTCCACTTATGTTTATTTTTCCATTTTGATTCCTATAACCAAATGAGCTTATTCTTCAGAATAAACTGCTTGAAAATGGGTGCAAATCATTAATAACATTATTCTGTTATAATTAATGTTAATTTTTCTATTATAATATGTGTAAATCATCTTTTCTGTGATTTTTAACTGCCCTCAGATTAATGCGATTTTGAGTTAACTGTCAATTTTGAATCTACAGATGTCTTTTATTAATGATACTAATGTTAGAAAGGCTTACAAAATTATTAATTACATGCATTATAAATTATACTGATATACATAAATTAAGCCTATATGATATGTTATCAAAAAGTAAGCATATGACGTATCAAATTATCAATCATTTAAATGTTTCATATTGTTGTGTTCTATAGGTTCATGGATTTGGAGTAACTGATAATAACACTTGATGGAGAATCAAAGACACATTTATATAGACATTGAAAAACTCCCATAAACATGCTAAAACAATTAGCAACAGCCTTCAGGCTATAACAGTGAAGATAGCTTTACGGCAAAACACTAAAGTACAGCTCCGGATTCAGTCAACCCCTCTCAAGCTAATCTCTGAACTCAAGACATTCTATTACACTAATTTGCCTACCTACAGGTAGGATATATATATAGCTTGAACCTACTTTTGAGAATATTGCCGAGAAAATGGCTAAGAATGCATTCTAGAATATTCTTGCTCTATCTATGGCATATCGCCATATGAGTGATTTTGCACTAAACATGGCAACTCTAACCCCGCTTTGCGGGGAATCTATATCACAGTAGCTAGGCATTTCATAACAATATTGTTAAGGAATATGTTGTTTTTTCTTATCCTCCTGATCTGAAAAGATCTTTATTAGATCTATAAATTCATCAAGTCCAAGAGGTAGTAAATATTCGTCAATAGCCAAGGTTATACACCACAACAGACAACAGCTCAACTTTCTAGTTTCATCCCAGTTTTAATGGAGAATTCCTCACACGATGGATCTAACAGTTTCCTATCCTTCTTCCTCTACAACCAATCTTGACTTGATAGTTCCATGTTGTCAAAATACTATATGTACATTTACAAACACCCATGCCAACTCTGGGATTTGAACAAGGTTACAGCATCCACCTCCCCTCCTTTTATGGTAGCTGTTAAGGAATGTGCAGTTTTAAAATTAAAAATAAAGGCATTTTCCCATATGAAAAATAACAACCTTGTATCCCATAGAGGAGCATCCGCTCTGAGAACCAGCAATTTGCCAGGCAACGTTTGATAAATTATAAATCTCATACAATAAAAAATGGTAATATTTTGGCAAATGGTCTAACCATACAGATGATGCATTCCCTATTAATGTAACATTACTTGATTAAAAAAAAAGTTAAGATATTTTACAACATAAAAATTATCATTTATGTTACGAAATGATTCATTTAAGACTACGATGATTCATTTCTATCTATCTGTTATATACACTCTTAGACAAAAAAAAAAAAAAAAAAAAAAAAAAAACCCGCACCACAACGCACCGAGAAGATATAAAGCAAATTGTCACAAATTGATATGCATACAGGTTTCAATGGAAAATGCAAAATTTTAAACTTTGGCTGCAAATGAATGAACGGTTGTCGCTACAGCACATCTGATCTGCACAATTGGCAGGATATTTAAGAGGAGAAATTACTATTCTAGGTCATAAATTCTTCACGAATTTCATTCCGTATATTCTGTAGACAGTAACTATGCCTCGCATATAGGTACACGAATGATATGCGCAGATGTCAGAATTTAAGAGAGGTAGTGTAGTTGGGCTCAAAGAAGCCGGTTGGTCTTATCGGCGAATAGCTCGACATTTGAGCAGGAGCGATGCCACTGTTAGATGATGTTGGCAGGAATGGGTAAACCATGGCCGCATACAGCGCCAGGAAGGAAATGGTAGGCCTAGAGAAACGACAGAACGTGAAGACCGAGCAATCGTCAGAGCGGCACTCACAGCCCAAGATGCATCGTTATCATCGAATGTATGTGCAACTAGTGCTTCAGTGACCGCAAGGACCATTCATAGACGACTCACAGGTTGAGGTCACAGCACCCCTTGTGACGACTACCATTGACCTCTGTTGCAGTGGTGTCAAGCTCATTCGTACTGGAATGTCACTGATGGAGTAAAATAGTCTTCAGTGATGGGTCCCGCTTTGAACTGAGCCCCGATAACCAGCGAAGGCGAGATGCCCCGGACAGCGGTGTGATACCAACCTGAATGTCTTCTGGCATACAGGCCGAAACCAGGAGTGATGGTCTGGGGTGCCATTTCATTTCATAGTAGGACCCCTTTGGTTGTCATCCATCGCAACCTTACAACACAACAGTACGTCAACGAAGTTCTAAGGCCCATTGTGTGGCGCTTCATGTCACGCCAACCCGGGCTTATATTTCAGCAAGATAATGCCCGCCTCCCCACTGCACATGTTTCTACTGCTTGCCGAACATTACCTTGGCCAGCAAAGTCGCCGGGATCTCTCTCCTACTGAGCATGTTTGGAGCATTATGGGCAGGGCCCTCCAACCAGCTCGGGATGTTGACGATCTAACGCGCCAGTTGGACAGAATTTGGCATATCTGTCAGCCGAATAACTGCTTGCATAAGGGCCAGAGGTGGACAAATGCGTTACTGACTTTTTCACTTTGTGAAGCTCTATCACTTCAATAAATCATCCAATTTTTCTCAAATTGTAATAATTTATTTTTCTGTACATGTACATCACTTCTACGATTTTCCTCCATTCGGATACCTCCTTTTTGCGTCATTTTTTTTGGTCTAAGAGTGTATGGTAAATAGATAGCTTTGATATTACATCCTACAGCTCAAAATGTAATAAAAACAAATTTAGACAGTACTGACCAAATTTAGAAGTACTGAAGTAGGAACACAGAAATGCAGAAATACTGATGGCAAAGCATGTATATGACATATGGAAGAGGAAGAATTCTGATTGTGCAGACTGCTAAAATGTTGAATCCATATTAAACAGCAAACTTGGCAGTTGAGGCAGATTAAATCTTCATTTTTATTTCATTTGAGATACATGGTCACAATTCATTTGCACTCTAATCATGCCTATCCAAGAACATTTACAATTTTGATACTGTTGTAATAGGAAGAGAGCACAGCGAATTAGCGTCATTACAGGAAGATAGGCAGAAGCTAAAGTGTACAATTATTCAGTACAGAAGCCCACTAAGAGAATGTTTTGGTTTTGATTAGAAAGGTTTCAGTTCTTCAGCTATGTCATCAGCGTTACACAAGCCATGCAAGATGGATTGATCTAGAAATGACACAGTTCAGAAAAGTTTTTTATTCTTAGAATACAGAGAGGCAATACCAAAATTAAAAATGAGAAATTAAGATGCTATTATTAAATTAAATTATACTGATTTACATATTTTTTATCTTATATATAATAACATTCAGTATTTAGCTGATCAAATAACAGAGTACTTCAATATATCGCAATAACAAATGATGATATTTTGCTTTACAAAATGTGTTTCTCGCCCAGTAGAAATTATAATAAAAAATTAGCAGTAGGCACTCTTAATGAAAATTATTAACATTCGAATTAAAACTAAACACAGTTTTAAGTTAATACACAAAAACTAATAATTTTAAAAGAAAAAATGCTGCCAATATGACACAACATGTTCACAACACACAGTAGATCGGAAATGGTTGTATGAGAATTGTTTTTTATGTGAAATGCAGCTACAAGGCCAGTT